CTAATATATTAATATGAACTTAATATATCAATTACCCTGTTAACCCTAAAGTAATTCAAAATAATAAATTAATATTTATTATATTTACCCCAAATAAAATAAAATTTAAAATTTATAGGGTCTTATCGTCTAATAATTTTACAAAAGTATTATCACTTTAAATAAAAATTAACTCAATTATTGAAAATCTAATAATTTTAAAATTCCTTCATTCCAGTTTCTTATTAAGAAACTAATGATTATGCTACCTTAGTACAGTCAGATTACTGCAGCTATTTATGATCATTGAGCAGAAATCATATATAAAATTATATACTATGTTTTTAATAAACAGTAAAATTAACACCCAATTATTTCAATAATTATATTTATTATACACATTCATCTTAATTTAATAATATAAAAATTTAATAATGAAATTAACTTTAAAATAATTTTAAAATCAAATAACATATTCAGATATAATAAAACCAAATTTATCATTATTAATTAATTTTATTATTTAAATATTTTACATTTAAAACTTTATCATAAAATAAAATTAATTAAATTTTTTATTTTCAAACTTTTATCCCTTATACAAAAAGTATAAATTAAATCTTATAATAAAAACCCTTACGATTTGCAATTGTACACTTAAAAGCTTACATATTTAACTTTACAATAGTTGATTGGAAATCAAACGTAATAATACTTTAAAGCTAAATATAAATTTTAGCTGTTTCATTAGAAGCATGAAATGACAATGGATATTCATAACATCATTCTACATCCCAATAACCAACTAAAACAGTAATAACCCTACGTTTTGATACTAAAGCTTCTCAAATAATAAACATAATCATAACTCCTCCAAAAAAAGAAATAAAAGCCCCTAAAGAAGAAATAATATTTCAAAATAACATTCTATCAGCATAATCAGAATAACGACGGGGTATACCTGATAAACCTAAAAAATGTTGAGGAAAAAAAGTTATATTCACACCCACAAATAAAATTAAAAATTGAACTAATAAATATTTAGAATTCATACACACTCCTGTAAATAAAGGAAATCAATAAAAAAATCCAGCTAACAATCTAAATACAGCTCCTATTCTCAAAGCATAATGAAGATGAGCAACAACATAATAAGTATCATGTAAAACAATATCTAAACTAGAATTAGATAAAATAATACCTGTTAAACCACCCATAGTAAATAAAAAAATAAATCCTAAAACTCATAACAATAAATAATCAAAAGAATATACTCCACCAAACATTGTCCCAATTCAACTAAAAATTTTAATTCCAGTAGGTACAGCAATTGCTATAGTAGCAGCTGTAAAATAAGCTCGAGTATCCACATCTATACCAACTGTAAACATATGATGTGCTCAAACAATAAATCCCAATAATCCAATAGAAATCATAGCATATACTATTCCTAAGTAACCAAAAATTTCACCTTTTTTAGAAATTCTAATTACAATCTGAGAAATCATGCCAAAACCAGGAACAATTAAAATATAAACCTCAGGATGTCCAAAAAATCAAAATAAATGCTGATATAAAATAGGATTACCACCTCCTCTAGGATCAAAAAAAGAAGAACCAAAATTTCGATCTAATAATAATATAGTAATACCACCTGCTAAAACTGGTAAACTTAATACTAATAAAAATCTAGTAACAACTATAGCTCAAACAAATAATGTTAAAAATTCAAACCTTAAAACATATCTAATTTTTCCTTTTAAACAAGTAGTAATAAAATTAATCCCTCCTAAAATCGATGAAACTCCTGCAACATGTAGACTAAAAATAGCCACATCAATTGAACCTCCAAAATGATAAACTGAATTCGATAATGGAGGATAAACAGTTCAACCTGTACCAGGTCCTAATCCTAATAACAAACTCAATGATATAAATAATAAAGCAACAGGTACTAATCAAAATCTTAAATTATTTAAACGAGGAAAAGCTATATCTATAGCATTCATTATCAAAGGTAATAATCAATTACCAAAACCACCTACTGCTACAGGTATAACAAAAAAAAAAATTATTAAAAAAGCATGAGCAGTTACTATAGAGTTATAAATTTGCTCATCTATAATAATTCTACCAACTATTCCTAACTCAGTACGAATAATCAAACTTATCCTAGCCCCTAAAAATCCAGATCAAATTCCAATAATAAAATATAAAGTTCCAATATCTTTGTGATTAGTAGAAAACAATCATCGTAACACAATTTCTAAAAAAAAGCAAACTAACTACAATCAATAAATTTATCATATAAATTATAATACCAACATCTAATAAAATAAATTTTATAAACACCAACCTAAAATAATAAATCAAAGCTAAAACATCAAATATTATTAAAAATAAAATCAATTTAAAAAAAAAATCTAATCTAATTACAACATATAATTTTATTAAAAATAAAGCAAAAGGAGGAATAACTAAAAATAAAAATACTAATAATAATATTTCTATAAAAGAATCTAATTTTATTAATAAAAAAATAATTAATAAAAGAACAACCATATAAAAAATATATAAGTAAAAATAACTAGAACCTCATACAGATAATAAAATTATTCCAGTATTACCAATAGAAGAATAAATTAATAATAACCACACATCTGCTACAGATATTAAAATAATCATTACAAAAAATATTCTAAAATAAGATATTAAAAATACATAACTTAAATTAATTTCCAAAACTAATCATATTAATCAAAATACAGAAATTTTTTGAAAAACTAAAACAAATATATTAGCATATATAGAAACTTTAATAGACACAACTACTAATCAATAGAAAAAAGGAAATATTCCTAATTTTGCTACTAAAATAATAAAAAGTAATTTTACTATATAAAAATAAAAACATATAAATAATAACAAAGATATAATTCTTTGAAAAAAAAAATAAATTAATAATCCTTCATTTTTACCTTCTACAACTATTACAGAAATTAAAAAATAAATCATAGCAATTTCCATTATTAATCAAACTACATAAAAATTATTAATTATCAATATTATAACCAATAAAATTAAATAAAAAATTATCAATTAAGAAATTAATTTTTGAGTAACAATCAATTTTATTATTCTTAAAAAGAAATAAAACTCTGATTAGAAATTAGAAAAAATTCTTCTTATAACCCTTTTTTATTATTTTAAAAATTTACATAGACATAGTAGTTAACAAAACAATTATTAAACACTCTCCTATCTATAAAAATTATATAATAAAACTAAAATTTAATAAAATTATTTAATTAAATATTTCGTCATAAAGCAGCCAAATTTTAATAAATTTTTTTACTATTATAATTACATTACATAATTGCATACCCAATATTTAATAAGATAATCAATGAATTTTATAATAAAAAAAAATGAGAAAAAAAATTTAATTTTTTTAATAATAACACAAATATATACAAATATATATATATTATTATTTATATATTTATAATAAATATAAAAATTTAATAATATTAAACATTTCTAATTTTCTTTTAATAATTTTTTTAATAAAAAATTCATTTTTAATTCGAAACGACCGATTGTAACTCTTGTTTAAAATTGTTCCCTAAATCCTATGTATAATAAACTTTGCGTTTAGTATTAATTTTATTTGATTAAAAAGTTAGAAGAGTATTAAAATTGATTCTATTCCCATTCTTTTTTTTTTTCGAGTCTTAGAGGCAATCTAAGTACGCCATATGTGTAGTTCTGTCATTCCGTAGGCATCTAAATTCAACTAGGTTGTTCAGAATATAAAAAAAAACATATCATCTACAATATAAATACTATAAATTTCAAAGATAAAAATGCATATCACTGTAATGACGGAGAACTGATGACGCTGCCATGTCTAAGCACGTATAGGTACTTAAAATAATTAAAAAAATTAAACGTATACAAAATTATTAATTAAAAATTTTGTATCNAGACCAGTAAACTACACAACATTCAATCGTAAAAAAGGAATGAAAACTATGTTTAGACATCTTCTCCAGCGAATTTCTTCACGAAATAAATATGCCGGTCAACATTTGTTTTTACTTACTATGATGGAAATGATGTCGTTAGTCTCTCTCTTTCGTTGTTGTTATTTTATGCATATGACCTCGGCTTCAACACTCGTAAAATTCAATCTGTTTCTCTTTCTCTTTTCTCTACTACTTCTTCTTCTTCTTCTTCTTCTTCTTTCTTTCTTTCGTTCTTTTGTCAATAGAAGTATACACGCATTCTCATTTTTTTTTCTCTCACCTTCAGCGGACAGCGATAACTTTTGTTATTGATGATGACATATGGGAAAGAGACGATAGAAGAAAAAACGAATATCAATCGATGGAAGCTTCCGAATTGACATACGAATACTACTAGTGATGAAATGACGTCAGTTATTGGTCAATTTTCTCGTTTAGTACTTGATTGAATTTCATCATATCCAGTCGATTGTTTCTTTTTACTTCTTGATTTGTATGAACATATTTGAATAGTAAGCATCAAGTACAATTGAATGAGGACAGTTTGTATATTCAATCAACGAATAGCCTGTCTTCTTGAAAGTAGGCATGATGCAATGGCAATTCACTAGATGTATTCCTGTTCTGCGGAGCGTTATAAACGTACAGTTGTGAGCAAGGAAATAATTGAATTCGTCCAAAATGAAGGGGTAACTAGTGGTATAAGTATCAACACTTTTGAGGGATGACGTGGTCATATCGAGACGAAACTTTTCGATGGATGCGTCGATATCGTTGTATAAGAAAAAAAAATGTACTTTTTATATGATATTTTCTTCCTATAAAAATATAAACCTTTGTTAAAGGTTAATAGAAAAACGCGGTCTATTATTCACGCGTGCTGACTGTCATTACGTCAAGACAAAGTACCTATTTTACGCTTTGCACCCAAGAAAAGAACGATTACTGATTGACTCAAAGCTCGATTGAAATCGTTTAGACTACAGAAGAGGATTATATCCTTAGAATGCCTGTTACAATGCATATGAATGTCAAGATTATAGGCGTGACTTTCGTTTGTGATGAATTTGATATTAGCTTGGCAGATGTTCGCTTTCTTGTTCCACAGACGGTGAAACTTTCGGCTGGTGGCGAATAAATCAGTCCTTTGTAACGTCCGTTTCGTTCGACAGAAAAGACGAGAGCCATACCGGGCCAAATATGCCATTCCATATGACAATGCAAAAACCAAGGTCCTGGATTATTTGCCGTGAATCGAAAGACAACGTAGCTGTCACGAGGAACAGTAAATGAATCTCCTGAACTGAGAACTGGTGGAGTTGAATTCAACGGTGGCAAAATTGTATCATAGTCAAATGTATGAGCCTCTCGTCGTGTTCGATTACATGTCATTGGTGGTAAACTCGGTATTTTTCCAGCAGCAACGAAATCAACCGAATAACCATGTAAATGCCATGGATGTAATTGAGGATCATAGTTGATCATTACGATCTCATAAGTTTGACCATATTCGAAATGTTGGATATGAGTTGCGTGACTATTATTTACACGGCCTGAGCGTTCATCGGCGATACAGTGTTTAAATGTACCGTCGATGAAATTTGCATGCAGCAGTGGTTCCTTCGGTGGTTCGAAAGTAATATCGTTGACGGCCCATTCTTCTAGAGCATCGATATTCGAACGATTATTCCAATGAACTTCAAAACCAAGAATAATTCGACGGATAGCAGGCGAAGCGAAACGTTCGTTCGACGGTTTCAAATACTTGTATTCAAAAAATGGATCATCAGCGTCAAACTTTGGTTCTTCTACTGACTGAATCGCACGACGATCAGCTGACACCTTTGAATATGTCAGATACGCCCATGTCCACATGGTTGGTGTCGGTCCCGTAATGACCTCCGGTGACAAATAACTATTTCGACTTGCAGCGAATATGACATATTTGACAGTTGGATTTTCGCTACAGTTCACAATTACGTCAAGTCGCTGCCCGATAGCAACGTGAATATGAGGAAGAATGACAGGTGAAACTTCGATACCATCCCGGGCAACGATCGTTAAATTATGTTGATCAATCCAAAAACGAAACGGAATGCCACTGGCGGCATTAATTACTCGAAAACGAGTGAATTTACCCGGTTGGCAAAGAAATTCGTCAACTGGATGCGCATCAGGATTACAACGGCCGAGGAATGGCTCTCGAAGTGGAATGCACTGCGCTCGATGTCGATGACCACACGTATCCCGCCATGTGGCATTTTCCGTACAATCTGATACCCGGCAATCAAATCGGCCATGGCCATTGATCAGAAACGATGTTGGCGGCCACGGATAGATCGGTATATTGCCACGATAAGCATCATACGGTCCCTGATATGCTGTCATCAGATCAGGCCATGTCTCATGGTACCATTCTTGCAGCATAACTATGTAATCATTCGAACCATAGTCATATCGTTGTTCAATAGTGTCATGATCGAGTATAATAGGACCGAGCAAGCCATCCGCATACTGCTGAGCATTATGTGAATGATACCAATAAGTTCCAGTTTGCGTAATATTGAATTCATAGATGAATGTTTCATACGGTTCGATAGGACATTGAGTGATATGGACGGTTCCATCTGCCCATGGATTATTAACCATATGAAGACCATGAAAATGAATAGCTGTTGGTTGATCGCGTAGCATATTAGTTACTTTGATGCGAAGTTGATCACCGAGTTTAGCTCTTATGAGAGGACAAGGAAATGGTCGGTCAATATCCCACGAAGAGTTTCCATGGTGCATGATGATGACGGGTCTCGGATATCCATCTGGATTCGCGGGGATACTACGAATGATAAAATCATATTCAACAAACGTACATTCCACATACGAGTTGTCATAACACAGATAAGCAATAAGAATCAAATAAATGTACATCGAAATAGGGATCAACGATTTGAATAAATGATCAGTTAACTTGCTGATTTATTCTTCTGTTGCCTGACGTTCGTATAAATGTATATATGCCACGCCAAGAAAAGTTCGTCGTTTAATCCCATCATCCTTATTAATCATCAGTTGAGGATTAAACCACTCAAAGTACAAAAGATAAGCATATTGAAAGTCTATTTATTGCGTAAACTACATATTTAATTGTACTCGAATATCAATTTTCCTTCGAAGACGAAATCAATACAAAAGAAAACGAATGATGATATTTTGTTTTCCTTGGATTCTAGGTTGTAATCTATCTGATACGTAGAAGTACACTTGCGCCATCAATGAGATTTCTAGTGCAATCTATCATGAGCTACAATGACTCATCGTCGACTAGCGGTATAAAAAGTAAATAAGAACAAGCGAACGAGCAAATTTGCTTTGCTGAGAGGAAAAACAACTACACATTTATTCATAACTTTCGGCTTCAACGTACATTTTTCATCTTGTTCATATTTTAGTTGAGTAAATCGACTTATCGATGATAAAAATTACCGTCCTAGTTTTAGATTGACAAAGATGAATTTATCGACAAGATTCTCTCCAAAATCGGGCCAACCACTGAGTAAACCGAATCGCGGTCCGCCAAATGTGACTTGGCAGCATTCATGGTCATCAAGTGAGACAGCAGCTGGTTTGGCTGAATCTCGTTTGCGATTTCTTCCGCCTGAGGTTCTCCTACAGATTTTCAAAGGTTTGTCAGTACACGATTTGGGAAATATTTCACTGACCTGTCGAGCATTGAAAATCATTGCTGATCAAGATGATATATGGAAACTGAAGTGCAAATGTAAGTTTCTGTTTTGTGATAGAGTAGCATTGTCTAATTTGTTAGTTGAACGTGTTTAGCGTCGACAAAGGTACAATCGAAAACATTCAAAGAAGTTTATATGGATTGGATGCATGAGAAATATTTGCGTAATATTGAATTAGAAGAAGTCGAAGCGGAATATAAGAAAAGAAGGGCACACGTTGCTTGTGGAAGGCGATGCGGCCCGCCAAAATATCCAATTCGACCCGATGGTAAACATGACTTTGGAGCTGTCGGCGGATTCAAAGAACATCCAAATCAATCGAGTACAATGTATGACGATTCTCGTTGTTCGTCTGTATAGTTTTCGTTTGTTCTGCAGGATTATTGATCTCTCTGTTGACATTAATAAGATGGCAAAGGAACTTCTGTCGTTGTTGGAAAAAGCAGAACAATTCAAAGTAGAATGGCGTGAATCATCGGTGATCAAACGAATGATCACTCGTTATTATCGATTCATGCAATTGAAAGCGTCAATGCCAAGTAGTGTTCTGCTCATTCCAACATTAGATATCGAAATCATTTGGCAAACTCATCTTCTCCGACCAACAATGTATCACGATGATTGTTTACGCTTATTTCATCGCATTATTGATCATAGCTTATTGTCCAGCGATATTGAGCAGTTTCTGAAAGAGCGGGCGTTTATTGAAACTTGTAAACTATACGAAGAACGATTTGGTGAGGAATACTGTCCGTTACCGGAAGATAAACAAGGGAAAACACCCATGCCCAAATACGAGCACAATTTATTTTGCAGATTGGAATGTTTAATTCCAAATTATCTCTACTGGGATGAGACGCATTTTAAATTTGAATCCCCATCGACACCTAATCACGACGACAATCCATTCTCATTCACCGAAGCTGATGTTATATTGGATAGTAACTGGCTCAGTCTATGCAAGAAGTTCATGCTTGATATGGAAGAAAAACTTCAAACTAGCGCATATGATACATATGAAGAACAGTTTATACTCCGTCACGCAGCGCTGGAAAGACTTAAAAAGTCGTACGAGCGATTCTTATATCTGGCAACGAAGTATCCTTCGTCAAATGGCTATCAGTTCGTTCACCCGACCTATGCCGTAAGATGATTTCTATATGGGAATAGGCCAACAACGATTATATTTTAGATTGATATTATTTGGCACTCGCATATGCAAGAGCCGTTGAAATATGTGGCTGATTGCCAGCGTCTTGTGGGATATGTGGTTGATCATGCGCCGTGGCCATCGGTTGATGCGAATAAAATGAAAAATTCGTGTGATGATACAGCAAATATGTGGAAAAAAGAATTCGATAGCGATATGCAATCCGATCATCTTTTCAATACGAAGAATAGTGAACTTGATTGCCGCTATGACTAGGACATTGTTTCTCTATGGACAGGAAACTAAATAAAACATGCGTCTCATCAAAACTGTAGAGGGAATGACCATCGTGATGCAGTGAACGAAGCAGAAAATTAAACGAGCCCGCAGAGAAATTTGCGTCATAGATAAAAATTACAATTATTTATCGATAAAAAAACAACGGAGTCGAGGTTATCTACTGACCATAGAACTCTTTCAACGATGTTCTATGTACAACAGAAATCGCTCCTTGTTTCACAAAAACACATCATTGGAAGATGCCATCCTTGATTCTGTTATTCTAAACAAAAAAAAACACATAACTGAAACGATCAGTGCGTATGAGCCCAAGATTCGCATGCATAGTGTCAATGTTTCGTTTATTGTTTCTATCTAGGAATCATTAACATTTGCTGCCATTTGAATTCGCACCGCTAATTGTCGAAGGAGACTTTCAGCAGTTTGGATTTCATCTGATGTATTGCTGGTACTTGGAGTGATATATTCCAAAACACCGTTGACTTCCAATGCAACACATTCTTGTCCCCATTCAGTGCATTTGTTTTTAATTGTATCTCGAATCGTTTGCTCGTTTTCCGACCATTTCTTTTTAGTAGAAAACGTTTCGACGGACGTGGTTGCTACCTGAACTAATTCATCATTATGTGCTAGATACGAGCTTTGCCGGGCGGGATACACAGTACAACCGCCGAACGTTTCGCATAGGAGATTTTGAAGTGAAGCTACAAGATTCGATGAAGAAGAAATTGTCAGGATTTTCGAATTGCCTTACCGAGACGAGTGTTGAACTCGGACGAGTTCACAGGTTTATTGACAGAATTGGCTGATGGGATAACTATACGGATACGAACGCCTGCTTTGTGCGCATCGGAATCAGCCAAGAACAGCAGCCAACTGACTTCATCTAATGACAAACGTCCAGTATTTTCCTTATCACAATATTTGAACATATTTTCAACTTGTTCGTCGGTGAAACCCAACTTGAATCGATTCGAATGTGCTTTGAGTTCATCCAATGTTACTGTTCCATCGGTGTTAATTTTTCCCTTCTTCACTGGTTTAGCTTTCGCTTTCTTTGCGGAGCCATCACCTTTTCCAGCCGCAATACCCATCCTCGAACGAATTATATTTGAAACTTACAAGCAAGTGAAAAACGCCAAAACGACAGCGTCTAATTAAATGTTTGCTCATGTGCATATGTCTATATATATATGTCTATGGAAATTTATTTGCCTGTCACATTTGCAGCGCAATGAATCGGAACATATTCATCTATCGATTGACATCATCAGAGAAAGAGAGTGACGGAAACGCAATTGCACAAGATTTGCCAACGTGTTTTTTTTCTCGGGTAAATGTGACCGAAAATATGCGTGCTTTTTCGGTAATATTGGAAACCGACCAATATAATTATCTACTTCACGCTTGTTAGTTTATCTTTCAATATTAAAGCAATCTGACGAAGAAGAAAAGGAAAAAATATTTTGCGATTGAATAGATTGTAATTAATGATGCAGCCATGTCAGTCAGGAACGAATGCATTCAGAACCGTTTTGCTTAATATCGATCAATTAGCAACCGTAACGAAGTTGTGAGTGATCATTACCGCAGTACTCGGCGGGAGGGAGAAAAAATAAGCAGTGTCGTCGAAGAAAACTTTATTCGTAAAATGTATTGTTTAGTAGAGAATCAACTGTGTACATCGAAAGAGTGCGATTATCTTGTTCTTTTGTACATCTTTGACTTTCGCATCCCATACTTGAGTCGTTTTACCACCATGAGCCAATCGTGCTTCGCAAAAAATTGTGCCAGGTGGTTTGATTGTTCCTAAAAAGTTCGATTTCAATTCAATTGTGGTGAATAATTTTGCACCCGGAGGTCGCGAATGCACACAACCATAACCGCAAGCTGTGTCGGCAAGAGTAACGACAACGCCTGCATGAAGATAACCGTTGGGTGCGAGGAACTCTTCACGAACTTCGAGTTGACATGTCGTGTGACCATGAGACAAAGACAAGATTTCCATGCCGAGCAAACCGGGAAATTTACCTTTACCACGGTCATTCCAAAGAGTTAAATCCATGAATTCATCAATCGTTATAGTCTTCGTTGAATGACCAGATGACGAGCTGAATAGGGAATCACACTATGCATAGATTTTCTCTTTCAATGGGATGACTGACCTGACTAAATGTTGTACCTTTTCCGGTAGTTGAGACTTAGCTGAAATTTGCTTGAATACTGCTGGTATTTGTTGTTGTTGATTTGTTTTCGTATCATTGTGAAAATAATACTGATGCTCTTGACGATCAATAATTTCTTTTAGTTTCTGATTTTTTTGATAAGCTTCAATTACCGACATATCACATACATAGTTTTTTGACAGAGATGATAAACATCGCTGCGAGATTTGCTTATAAAATGATAGATTTTTATGTCTGATAAATTGTGAAAGCATTTTAAAATAAAACTTTTTTTTCCAATAAAAGAAAGGACGGAGTCCAATTTTCGTTTTATCGAATGAGACAAAATAAGACATTTCATAGGTCGAACGATTTTCTCCTTTCGCTTCTTCGCGATCTGGAGACATCTGCAAATCGTCGCTATGCATTTTCAAAATGATTGATCATCGATCGGTAGATCTGTTCTTTGACGTGATCGTCGCCCATATGACCTTGATCGAACACAACTGATTGTGCTTTCAATATTCGTGCTAATTCGTGCTGTTTTTTTGGCGGTATTAATTTGTCCCGAGTGGAAATTTGTACAGTAATTGGTATATTCGCATCACGTATAATTTGCACTCCTTCGTTTGACAAATAATGACTAGCAGCTGCCGACGCTTGACAAGCACACGCTTGTTGATTGTCAAATGCCCACCATTGGTCGTATTCGTTTAACCAAAGTGTCGCATATGTTTCACCTCGAGTTGCCAAAGTCTCCGGCGAAAATGCCGCAGGAAGAAGAACATTCCGAATCATATGTTCTCGATCTTTTTTGATCAGGAACGGCATCAATTTTGACCATACACCAGGGCCAAATGCTAATGGTCGAATATAAGTACCACGGGATGTAGCGACAAGATATAGTGATCGAAGACGACGTTCGGATACTAAAAGTAATGCTAATTCTTGTGCAACCATTCCACCAAGACTTGCACCAAAGACGTGGACGGAAGAGTTCTTCCCCCAAACTTCATTGATTAATAGATATGCATCGTTTGCTAACATACGAGATGTTTGCCGTTCAGGTCGAGTACAGGTGGATTTGCCAATACCACGATGATCATATGTTAGAATTTCGATGGATTTTTGCAATGAAGAAAAATGATTTACAAGATAATTTGCTTGTTCTTCGAAGTGCCTCATAGTTGCAAACGCACCCATAACCATAATCATTTTGAGACTGTGTTCAGAGGAAACGTTAGGTGACGAACGTATTTCATAATACAGTTCGACTTCGGGAGATATGACACATGTATTCGAAGTAATCTGAATATCGTTCATCATTTCAAGACCTGTTATAGGGTGATCAGCGATATAAATAGCACAAGAAAGTAAACTTTTCGTTATCAGATGACACAGATTTATAGTGTATGCAGTGACGTGCTATTGGACACGTCATCTTGTGACTTAGCCTACAACATCCATGGCCGTGTCTCAATAACAGAACGCAAGAAAGGAGGAAGGAAGAAAAAAAAGCGAGAGAAAAAGAAAAGAAAAGGGGGCACCCGGGATTGAACCAGGGACCTCTCGATCTGCAGTCGAATGCTCTACCACTGAGCTATACCCCCCATGCCATGAGATATTCGGTTTTTCGCGTCGTGTTGAAACTGACTTGTACTTTTTCGTTCACAATCATTGAGTCAAATTTATAATATTATAAAGTTTGGATATTCAAACAAATGCTACATCATTTCTGATGGAATATTATGACTTAACGCAGTCGATATTTTTAATGTAGTATAAAAGAAGAAAAGAAAAAAGAAGTTCATGCACTTCAAGTTTGATGCTGCGATGAAGGAGTTTTTTCCGTTGATTTGGTTCGTAATGTGCCTGAAGTTATCATTGAGCCAAAACCTTTTTCTTGTGAGAATGCGTAACCTGATCTGGAAGAAATTATTCAAAAGAAACATTGTCTCACATGTAAACAATTTCTCAAAATATACTAACGTAGTTGATCGAACCGATGCTGTTCTCTGTCTTAGTTCTCGATCCATTGGAGTCACCGCATTCTTTTTGCCGCGTAAACAAAACTTTTGTATCAATCGAGCTCTATCCGTTTCGTTTGGCATGAATCGTATACGAAAAAATCTAAATCATTCGTACCAATCCTTCCGTTGAGTCAAAACGAAATGTCTTACTCTCGCGCAATTGCAGGCAGAATAAGTATAGCACAAATAAGAATCAGTGTCAACCAGAATGTCAGATTACCTAGACAGATTTGTGCGACACCAACGTACGCGTAATTAATTTTCAAATTCAAGCGTAGTACTGTCGAATACATTATAAAATGGAAGATGAAGTGGAGTGTGATAGTCCCAAAGAGAATGAAAATGTAGATTCCTGACCAATACCACATTTCTATAGCGTTTTCGGTATTCACAACAATGACTAAAATCGTTGCTACCATGAAACCGAATGATTGTACATCGGTCACAGGTGCACCGGACGGAAGAGTAGTGAAACACAGACATAAGTATGAAAAGAAAAATATAATACAAGATGTGATCAGGCCATGCGTAGCACATTCGATGAAAACTTTTCGATTGAAATATTGATCTTTTTGGCCAGCTGTGTACCTTAATTAAAAAGAAACATTTCGACACTCGTCCCAGGACGTTTCCACTTACAAATGAGGTCTACTGATCGAATGATTTGCACTGATGTCCTAAATAACAATACGCAGGCTATTTTATAATTCAATACTCAATAGTACTTGATCAAGAACGCCCAATACCAACACCGGACACGTTGTGAAGAAAATATTGTAAGTTGTGACGAAGAATGGATCGAAGATCGTCTAAAAACATTAATAGCAATTGTGGCTCAATCGAAATTCTTACTTGTGCAGAAAACCCACAATAGAAAGCGAACCAAAATTGACAGAAAGTAAAAGCAAAGTTTTTGTAAAAAAAGTAACGTAGGAATTTGGAAATACGTATATACGACCATCGTCCATGCACCAGTAACAGTCGTTCTAAGTATCGAAATTGGCCGATACTATAATCACTCGCCAGCACGGCTTGTCGACCTTCTTGTCCACTGATTCCAACGCCGATATGTGCTTCTAGATTCAAAACAGTTCAATTTGTGAGTCTAAACGGAACTCTTTCTCTCACTTTGAATCATTGAAACATCATTCGCTCCATCACCGATGGCTAATGTGATCACCTGTTGATTTTTCTTGATTAACTCTACTACTTGCGCTTTTTGTAGTGGGGTTACACGACAACAAATCACCGTTTTGCATTGAGTCGAAAGTTCGAGAAATGTCAGCTTTAGTCCATCTGATAACGCATGTAACAATGCAGATCCGGTGATTAATAAACTGTACGATTGAGGTAGATTCATTTTCTCAATATCCGCACGAAATCGTTCGAGTGCATTCGCAACTTCATCTTCCGTATCTACATCAATTTTATGTATCATCATTTCATTGGTCAAAAGTCGACAAGAAAATCCGACATTTTCCGCCGTTTCTATACACGAAAAAACGACATCTTCCTCAGACACAAATCTTTCCAAATCCTACCGATTTTATCTCCAGTCAACATCCAGATTTTGATCTGTGCGCTGGTCAATTTCTCGATACATTCGGGCACACCATCTTGGAGTTTATCTTCGATTGCCGTCATTCCGAGTAGCTTCATATTCTTTTCAATGCCTTCGTACAACTGGTCAATTTGCTCCTCACGTCTTTGCATACTCGTTCTGAAACATCTCGAAATTCGATTTAATTCATCAGTATGCATTCTACGTACGTCGCAAGCTTTAACTGTTTTGCCCATTTTCGATATTCACCTTCACTCAACTCTTTCCAAGCTAAACATAGAGTGCGTAAGCCTTCTGTCGCAACTTTCTAAACAAACAGAATTTCTCTTAAATCTCAAATAAAACACACTCGAAATATACATGTAAATGATCATCTGTTACAGCCATAATGTCGCTTTCAGATGAAGCCAATCGTTGTTTGATTACAGAATCTGCGCCCTTACAGTAAAGTATAATTTTGCCCTGTTTCTGTATGATAACCTAAACAAAGCCGATGAACAAAATCATTCCTTATTGCACTTACTGACATACGCTTTCGATAATTATTAAAATCGAGAATATTCAACAAATCAAAAGTTTGAACTTGATTCCGAAAACGGCCGGTGATACTACTTTGTGTACGACTCTAAACGCAGCCGATGAAACAATTATTTATTCATTTCATCCAATGATTTACCATAAATTCAAAACCAAATGCTCGTGCAGCTGTTACTAAAGCATTTTCATCAGGCGATTGAGCTTGATACGTTATCTTCCCATCCATCTCTTCTGTCATCACTGTGTGGCACAAAGCCAAGAGAATGAAAAAATGATTGATATCATCATCTTTGTTCCCTTCGATCGCATCAATCAAATTTCGATCATTCCAAACAAAATGACTATCTTGTCGAACGTAGGAATTCTCGATTCCGACATCACCATAGAGTTTGCCACGAATCGAGCATTTTTTAAATGTCATGACATTCTAGGAACATAAAACTGAACCCGCAGGTGCTTTTTCTTCTCATCAACCTACTTGTGTCAATGTACCGGTTTTATCGGAGAAAATATATTGAATTTGACCTAATTCTTCGTTGAGTGACGCTGTTCTCGCTTGTGCTTGAATATTACTCGGCTCGTAGTACATTCTTATGTCCCAATCAATCCATTTCGACTGTAGAAAACGAATAAATTCTATGCTGATATACAATGATATTGGCACGACGGTATTCAACAGGATAACATAGGAAAAAAACTTCAATGCTGCCATTTGTATCGCACCCGTTTGTACAGTTGGTGAAATAAACGTTTCCCATGGAAGATACGCTCGAAACCGTGAACCGGTACGATATTCCCAAAATGCCGAACAAACAGCAATGATCAAACACACGACGAACAAGAAGACAAAAATCTACGAATCGCAAAGAAAATATTCGAAACTTTCACTCTAAAAAACTTGCTCCGATGATGATTTTATTCAACCAATGATCGATTTTTGTTCGTTTGAATTTCGGCTTTCCACTATTTTGCATCAATTTCGTATCTCGACCAGCGTAGCAGACAACTAGCGTTCAGAATCAAAGACTCAAATCTCAAAACACCTTTCCCTTACTTCCAAAAGCCCATTGAGTATTCCGTAATCGTGTACCGCGTAGTAGAAGATTATCATTTTTCAACGGATAGATCTGTTCATTCCATGTTAAATTGCCCTCAAATCGGCGAAGATTATCATTCGGCAATTCACATTCAATCTTCGCTGGAAGACAAAGTGCAATTCATGAAGATACTATTCGACAAACTCTCGTTACCATTGAAATTCGACAGCTTTTCTAGATCGTTTTGAATACCAACGGTGACTTCAAGTGCTTCTCGAGGTTTTAAATTTGTTTCTCTAATAAACACAATCGAATGGTTCAACATCTAAACGATACTCTTCTTAATTGAATTACCCATCTAAATCCGCTGTTTCAATCAAACACAGACCATTTGGTTCACTCGTCGAAATCAATATGACGTCCGCCTTTTGCAAAGAAAAAAGACATTGACATTTCCTTTCCTCACAATTCGAATTACAGGAGTGAAAGCGTTATTCTCAATCTGTACGATGTCTCCGACTTGAATATCTTTCCAATACTTGTCGACTAGTTCTCGATCGACTAAAACTTTCACTCGTCGATTATTAATTTGTCGATCACTTCGATATCTTGCCTAAAGAAGAGCAGATCATCAGTATAAAAACCCACGAAATCGAATCTGATTTACAATGTCATCGACAGCATCTTTGATCGCTGTAACAGCAAGCACGAATATGAGTGACAGTAACGTACTTATTGGCTGAAGTGAGCTGATCTGTGGTATATATAATAGAATTAACAGAAACAAAAAGAACGCATTAGCAAGTCGACGAAATTGTTCGAAGAGATTTTTGGGCAGAAATGTCACAATGTTATATTTCGTTGTTGAAATTCGATTATTCTTTGAAATTAATCTCATTGCTACTAATCAAATTCAATTTCTTCGTTTCCTACTTTATATTTCTGCGTTCGGTTGAAGACAATGTCATTTGCTCTTACCACACGAGTCGATGCTACGAAACAAGTGATCAGGAGTGAAGTTGTCAGTATGAAACAATTACCTGTTGTCTTATTCTTCTTACAACAAAGACATTTGCGCATGTTTTGAAAACAAGTACTGATCTATAAGATAAAGAATTAGTTCGTTCATTCGCTGATTGAAAGCTATCGTCGAGAAAACTTTAATCCGTCTGTCGACAAGGTACTCCATATATTGATAAAGATTGTCTTCGTTTTATGTTTATGACATTTAATCATTTAACATTAACTTTTATTCATCTGAGGAATGTCTGTAAAATTCAATGTTTTTTTTCTTCTTCTTATCTTTATTGAGGTGGCATTCATGCAGAAATGAAACGTTTTATTTGAGTAAAATAAAGGATATTGTGTTCACATGAATGCCTTTGAAATCAACTCAATTGTCTCGTCGCGTAATTATTTGCGAATTGATAACAATTGAATGGCTTTCCTTTCTTTTTCTCAGGTGATGAATACATATAGAAATATTAATAACTAGAAAATATTTCATAAGTAATCAGGCTATTTACAATATTCAACGACGGAGTAGCACAACATTTTATTTTACTTTCAGGTCTAAAGATAGGTGAATACTGATTTAATTACGGACAACATAGAACAGAAGGAAGAAAACATTTTTTCTCCGGGAAAAAGAAGTGAGAAGTTTTTTTAATGATACAATGACACGAATAAGCACGCGTGCTTTTTAATTATTTGCATTGGAGAACGATGAAACGGCTGAGAGAAAGTCATGCAAGAGATCATTGGCAGCCGCGCCGATCTTCAAACCTGTATTTACAGTCAATTTTTCTGACGCTTTTTTCTACTCGAATGATAATCATCAAGAATGGACATTCTAATCAGGATAATCTAATAAGAGTAGACGAATCACTGATCGTGATGAACATTTAAAGAAAGAAAGAAGAAAGATAGTCGAAGTGAAAACCTAATCAAAAACATCTGTTTTCTCATTGGTGGAAAAGAGACCTCTATGATTATGTCGTCTTTTTCTATTGACGTCAAACTGAAAGTTCTTTTCTTTTTCTTCTTCTTCACGGATTAGCATTAGACGACGATGTCAACATCGAAACCTGTCGAATGGGTTACGGCTCTAATCGCACGGTTCGAAGATCAAGTAAATCGACGAACATTTCTCATATGTTTTCATGCTCTCTTTTTCGATTAGCTGCCGATCAAATGTGGAGAATTAACAAATCAAATGCGTTTGAATGTAGAACAGAATAAAGAATGTTTAATTGCTTTGAGTCGATTCAAATTCACACTCGTAATCAATGGACTAACAGATATACTGAAAACGATTGATAATACTGTATGGACGACCGAAAAATGGCAATTTCCAATATTAATAAGTAAAATTTCGTTTTTTGTAGAGATTCGGTGGTTATGATCAAGAGAAGAATATTTATGAATCGTATCTAATCGTTCTCGATGCTGTGGAACAATGTTTAGCCAATGTAAGAAGCAACTCGTTCGTTCCGAATATCATTTATCGAATTGTATCGTTCTAGACGAAAGATTTGAGTACCAGTCGATTAGACGAAGCAATTTATGTGAAGAAATTACTACCACTTGTTTGTAAAGTAAATGACGAAGGAAACTTAGAATGATGACGATACGATGTGATTGTTCTTCTAGTTATTGAATATATCTGGCGATGGAATAACAGCTCAACATGTGCGACAACTCGCATCGAATGTTCTATTCGCCTTGAGTGTCAATAATTTCAGTACTCTATTTAGTAAAGTTGTTTCCAGGTAGAAATGAATGTCATGTATTTCAAATTTGATGTTTCATTGTGAAATTCATATTTAGAAAGAATGCTTAGGAAAGGTAAAACATAGAATGAAAGCTCGAATGATTTCGTTTTTCCCATACTAACCGATAATTAGAATGATTTGGTTAGGAATTGTACTGCATGACTTTCTTGTAAATTTTAGGTTGGAATGTTTGATTGTATCTGGTGATGAGACGTGCGAAGCTGGAGATCTCGATCTGATTCAACATATGAATGTCGACATGTTGAAGTTAACAAGATTATTGAATGGTAAAAGAACGCTTTTACCCAGCAAAGCGAGTTTTATATTTGACCTTGTTTCAGAGGAAGTGCAGAAATGGAAGTTATTAAAGAAGATTCACCATACGGAACTTGTTAAAAGTGTGGAAAAAGTAAATCGAATTCGCCAGAAGAAAACAAATATATTTTCGATGATTTGTATTAGGCTATTTGGAATTGGTTGGATACATATCCTGAAGAATTTACTGATCTACAGAAACGACCGAACGCTGAGTTGAGTGGTGAGTTGACAAGTCTGGATGTGAACAGTTCTCTGAAAGTTTCCGTTTAAATAGATAGTTGCGAGAAATTATTCGAACTCTTGGATTCATTTGGTGAAGCTAATCGTCGGAAAGTTCAGTTTGTTTGGCCACTGCAAATGATGCTGTTAGTTCTCTGTCCAATTATACTGGAAGAATTAGTCTATGCTTTGGAAAAGAACGGACCTTGTTCGGCTGAACACTTACGTAAAAGAAACTTTGTCGATACACTCAAACGTCAATTACACGCGCAAGCATTAGGCAAACAACATTCCGGTGGTACAGAGTCCGCTGCTGTTGTCACATTTGTTAAATTATGCAAAGCAGCAACATATATTAATAATAAAGACTCGAATAATGTCTTATTCGTCATGGTTCCATCGGCTATTAGCGACTTGAAACAGATTCTGTTCAATCCTGCGAGACCATTCTCACGTGGACAAGACAAAGTCAATGTTGACTTGGAATTAATGATCGAATTTTTTCTTGCCTGTCTTCGGATATCCCCACATAACAATGAAGTCTTACGAATTTGCTTGAATCTGTCATCACCAGCAATGTTCCATTATGTCTTAGTCAAAGCTCTTTATCGGATTATTACGCAGAAGCGTTTAGCTTGGTGGCCACAAATTGATATTGTTTATTCTCGTGCCGGTGAACTAAGAAATATGTTTACAGATACATTGAACAAAGTTTCGCAATCGTCAACATTTTCCACCACGCCATTACGAATCTCGAGTATAACCGGTGTTAGTAGTCTACGAGATATTCTATTCAATCCGCAGCAGTTTCGTTCGCAATATTCGACTTTTAGATTTAAAGCATCCGATCGTGTCGCGTATGACGATGGGCCGAATAACCGTGAACTGCTATTATGGATTGTTCGTTTAATCATTGTCGATCCTTATTTAATGTTGCACAATCCGAATAAACTTGATCATGAGACACAAATGTCAACATTTGAATTAATTAACGGTCTTGTTTCACTTGTTCACGACACATCGATGATGCCAGATGTCGCTCACGCAGCGATGGAATCATTATTGGTTTTGCACGAAACACGAAATATCGAATTATGGAATCCCGAAGCATCGATTAACACCTTTTGGTCAATTTCCAGTCAGGTCTTATTTTCAATTTCACAAAAACTTGTCCTACATCAAATCTATGAATACACATCCGTTTTACGTTGGTTAAGAGAAATTCTTGTCTTGCGCAATGCTTTTCTCTTTCATCATAAGGAAAATGCTTACCTTGGATCGAATATTCCTATGGCTAAACACGCGCATACAAAATTGGAAATCGTCTTCTTCATCTACCTGTGGTCGATCGACCCAGAAGCGGTGAAGATCGCCATGTCCTGCTTTGCCTTATTTGCACATGAAGCTGATATTCGATTTGGTTTCGACGAAACGGCTGTTTTAGCACTGCTACCGAATTATAACGTCTACATGGAGTTATCATCAGCATCGACGACGTTAGTCACAACGGGACGTAACGCTTTACAGAAGAAGATCCTCTCGCTATTACGACGTATTGAATACGCAACGCCGGGAAATAAACAAGCGTGGTACGATACCTTTGTTAGTCAGCAACATTTGGCAAAATTTCTTGCCGTATATCCAAAACGTGTGGATGATTTAGGAAGCGGAGGTTCGGCAACGAACTCGCCAGTAGTGACAGGAAATGAAGCAAGTTCTACAGCGAGTAGTGGCTACGGAAAGTTAAACAAAAGAAGAGCAGGCGTTCATTCGAGCGAGCATGAAATTGAAGATGTTTTCCATGAATGGGCAAATATGACAGGATTCTTATGTGCACTTGGAAGTATATGGCTATCGACTAAGAATCGGCCTGGCCAACACGGCATTCCTGCTGATGCACGACGAACTTCGATGGAGCCAGTTAGTTCAGATCTGCACTATTGTCCAGTTACACAATTCATTGGTGATTGTTTAAAATATTTGGTTTGTCAAAATGAAAAGTTCGGTTTACAAATTCAACGTCACATTCAGGACTTATTGGGACATGAGTTGAATCCTTTATGTTATCCGATTCTATTCGAGCAAATTAAAATTCAAGTCGATAAGTTTTTCGATGCTAACGGTCAAGTGATCTGCTCGGAACAGAATACTCAGTTTGTCGACAATGTTATCGTCATCATGCGTTCAGTTTTCGAAATGAAAGCACAGCAAGCTGCTCAAAATCCTCTAGAAGGTCCACCGACTACAACCGGCTCGTCGAATACATTGGGTGTTCCAGGCAATAATGCTGGTTCACCAACATCCGTCGTTGGCGGATCGGCAAATGAATCAGCATCCGCTTCATCAAATGCCAATGGACGTAGTGGAGTACAGGCGATCAGTGAAAATCCGTTAGCAAATATCAATAGTTTAGAACAGCTCGTATTAAATATCGTTCGGTATACTCGACATCTAGATACAAGCGTTGGTGCTGTGGCTATTCGAATTCGTGTGTGTCAATTAGTTGAATCGATGATGAAACGACGAGATGATTTATCATTCCGACAAGAGATTAAATTTCGAAATAAACTTGTAGAATACTTAACCGACTGGATCATGGGAAATTCGCATCAATTTAATCAAGTCCACGCATTGGGACAATCTGCTGCTGGCGTTGGTGTTGGTAATAGTGTTAGTGTCACAACCACGCAGTTAGTTGTGGATCAATATCAGCATCTCACACGTGAACTGGATCAAGCATCAATGGAAGCAGTTGCGTCGTTACTTCATTCGCTTCCATTGCAACCTGAAGAAAGTGATCGAGGCGATCTAATGGAAGCCAAATCGCAACTTTTTCTTAAATACTTTACTCTATTTATGAATCTTTTGAATGACTGCGGTGAAGATTTAAACGATGATCAGAATTCTGTGACAGAACATCAGAATAATAACGAACGATCAACGACAACAAATCAAACGCAACAGCAGCAGCAACAACAAGCACAACTCAACAGTCAATTACAACAAAAGCAACAATCATTACGAAATTCAACCATCGTAGCTATGTCGAATCTACTTGCGGCAAACATCGAAAGCGGTCTAATGCGAAGTATCGGTAAGTATTCCAACTGAATAACCCTATCATGAAAATACTTTCCTTCGTGTAGCTTTGGGTTATCATCGTGATCCGCAAACACGTGCCGCTTTCATGGAAGTGTTAACCCAAATTCTTCAGCAAGGAACAGAATTCGATACATTAGCGGAAACTGTTCTTGCTGATCGATTCGAACGATTGGTCGAACTTGTCACAATGATCGGAGATAAAGGTGAATTACCCATCGCAATGGCACTTGCAAATGTTGTTTCACCGCAGTACATGGTACGTTTTGTTACGAGCTCTTCGTACTATTCTTGAATCTATATTCTTATAGGATGAACTAGCACGTGTGTTTGTGACCATCTTCGATGCCAAACATCTACTTCATCAGTTATTATTGAACATGTTCGCTAAAGAAGTTGAATTAGCTGATTGCTATCAAACGATTCTGCGTGGAAATGGCTTACCCACAAAAATCATGTTGTTCTGCTTTAAACTCTACGGCTCACATTATTTATATAATTTATTCGCGCCGATTCTGGCGAAAATGTCTATTGCTGATCTACGTTCGTATGAAATCGATCCATCACGTCTTGAACAACACGAACAATTGGATGAAAATCGCAAAAACTTACGTTTATTAACACAAGATGTTTTCCAAGCAATTCTCGATTCAGCTTCACAATTTCCATTACAATTACGTATCCTTTGTTCTTGTCTATATCAAGTTGTTCAACAACGTTTCCCTCAGCATCCACTCCAAGTAAAGCTGTTCGTCAAAATTCATAAATTCTCCTCATTTTTTTGCTTTTAGGCTGTGTCAACTGTCATCTTTCTTCGTTTTCTCAATCCAGCATTGGTTCTTCCGCATGAATACGGAATCGTCGATGCAGAGCCATTGCCAAGTATCAAACGCGGTCTAACACTTGTATCAAAAATTCTTCAGAATATCGCCAATAATCTCATCTTTACCAAAGAATTCCACATGCGATGTTTCAACGATTACCTTCGCTATACATTCGATTCGGCGACATATTTCGTTTCAGCGATAAGTGAGCCAATCAATCTGAATACCATAGCACCCATAGATGAACAACAACCCGTTGAAAACAATCAAACACTCGACTCAACAATCGTTTCACCGACTTATCCAATGTCATACATCAGCGATGCCAATGTTTTAGCATTACATCGTCTTCTTTGGTATCATCAAGAAAAAATCGGCGATTATCTATCGAGCGGAAGAGATCATAAAGCCATTGGTCGACGGCCATTCGACAAAATGGCAACTTTATTGGCTTATCTTGGACCACCGGATCATCGACCGTTGGATTCACAATGGATTTCGTACGATATGACTGCGACGAAATTCGAAGAACTGATGGCGAAAACACAAATGCATGAACGAGAAGAATTTAAATCCTTGAAAGCATTGAATATCTTCTATCAAGTAAGCCATTTGATTGTCATTTTCTGAAAATGAATAGCATTGCTGGTTGCATTTAGGCTGGATTTAGTAAACAGAATAATACGCCAGTATTTTATTACATAGCACGTCGTTTTAAAGTGAACGAGATGAATTGTGATCTATTAATCTATCACGTTCTACTAACATTAAAACCGTTTCAAGCGAAACCATTTGAATTAGTTATTGATTTCACTCACACATGCACAGATAATCGATTTAAGACCGATTATCTATCGAAATGGTTCATCTGTATGCCTGATTGTTTCTGCTATAACCTGCAAGCATGCTACATCTATAATTGTAATTCGTGGGTGAGAGAGTATACGAAATACCACGATCGAATCTTATCGACGATCAAAGGTTCGAGAAAACTGATTTTTCTCGATCACATTTCACGTCTGAACGATTTTATTGAACTCGATCAACAAAAGTTGCCTGGACACACTTTATCGCTCGAAGAAGATCTTCGTGCATTTAATAATGCACTAAAATTATCACACAAAGACACCAAAGTTGCTATTAAAGTCGGCCCGCAAGCAATTCAAATAACCTCGAGTGAAAAGACGAAAGTCCTTGGACATAGTGTTCTACTCAATGATGTTTATTACGCATCGGAAATCGAAGAAGTTTGTCTAGTCGATGACAATCAGTTTACATTAACTATTGCCAACGAAACTGGTCCACTTTCGTTCATTCACAATGATTGTGATAACATCGTTCAAGCGATTATTCATATCCGAACGCGATGGGTATGCCAATTCTTAAGAATACATTTTAAGTATAAAAGATATTATTGTTTAGGAACTTGCACAACCAGATTCAATTCAAATCCATAATAAAATTCGACCAAAAGATGTTCCGGGAACGCTGTTAAATATCGCCTTGTTAAATTTGGGTTCTCTCGATCCATCACTTCGTTCAGCTGCTTACAATCTTCTTTGTGCATTGACTCAAACATTTGATTTACGTATCGAAGGTCAATTACTGGAATCATCGGGCTTATGCATTCCGTCGAATAACACCATCTTTATTAAAACAATTTCTGAAAAGCTAGCATTGAAAGAAGCGCATTTAACATTGGAATTTCTCGAAGAATGCATTGAAGGTTTTCGAAACTCGACCATTGAATTGAAACATCTTTGTTTGGAGTATATGACGAAATGGTTACCGAATTTAACGCGATTTTGTAAACAAAACGATGACAATAAACGAATGAAAGTGTCGATGATATTGGACAAGTTAATCACGTTAACAATCGAAGAAGACGATATGTATCCATCCATTCAAGCGAAGATTTGGTCACATCTTGGACAAGTTAGCGATCTGCTGGACATCGTTTTAGATTGTTTTATCAAACGATCGGTTGTTGGCGGACTCGGTTCTGTGCAAGCTGAGATTCTTGCTGACACAGCCGTGGCATTAGCCAGTTCGAATGCATTGTTATTCTCTCGAAAAGTGATTGGTCGTCTCTGCCGTTTAATTGAAAAAACATGTCTATCACCAACACCCACTCTCGAACAACATCTCATGTGGGATGATATCGCTATCTTACTTCGATATTTGCTGATGCTCTCATTCAATAATTCACTCGATGTTGCATCGCATCTACCTTTTCTATTTCATATTGTGACATTATTAGTTAACACGGGGCCATTGACATTACGAGCATCGACACATGGTCTTGTGATCAATGTTCTACATGCGTTATGTACATGTTCTCAACCACAATTTAGCGATGAAACTCAACGCGTTCTTCGTTTGTCTTTAGCAGAATTTTCCCTTCCGAAATTCTACGCTCTATTCGGTTTATCGAAGGTCAAATCAGCCAGTGTGATTGCCTTTCGTACGGGTATTATTCGACAACAACAGCAACAACAACATTCCAGTCAAATGTTATCCGCGGAGAAACAAGTTCATCACGAACGTTTCATTCCGATTAATAATGTTCATTCGCCCAGCATCGAACAAGTTGAACGAATGAGTTTGACATCGCTGGAAACAATCACCGATACATTATTAGAATTAATGGAAGCATGTATGACCGACATACCCGATTGTGAATGGTTAACGCAATGGCAAGAATTAGCCAAACGTTTTGCTTTTCAATATAATCCTGCCTTACAACCACGTGCTATGTAAATCATTTTCTATGTTCTTTTTTTTCCGGAAGTTCTCTTTTTCTCTTTTAGAATCGTCTATGGTTGCATATCGAAAACGACCAGCGATGGTGAAATCAAAGCTTTATTACGAATTTTAGTCAAGGCTTTGGAATCATTCTCCGATATCGATCTAATCGATGGAATCATTATGTGTTTGACACGTTTATTACCCTTACTATCCCCCGAGTCGAAAATACATAAATTTATTTTTTGGATATCGATTTCAATTCTTCAACTGCATCAAACACAATTGTATGCATCGGGGCTAGCTTTACTCGAACAGAATCTTCATACACTTGATCATATGTTGAATTTATTCGAAAACACAAGTACACATCAACAGCAAACTTTAGAAAAAATTATGATGGACGCACGTGAACCATTAGAATGGCAATTTAAACAACTAGATGCTAGTATGGGTTTATCGTTTCGATCGAATTTTAATTTTGCACTCGTGGGACATTTAATCAAAGGTAAATAGACGAAATTTAAGCTAATTTTCCGCTCGCATCGTATAGTGGATACTGCTGCTCATCACCAATTTTACTTCCAGTAGATGTTTGTACATAAGTGCAGCCACTCCAATTCTCATTTACTGTACTATTGCTATTAAGTGAGCCGTGAACGCACAGATAGTAGGGCATTGATGAAGCAGCTAGTTCAGGTTTACCGACACGAATTGCGACACTTGATATAGCACTTAAATTTCGTGTACTTCTAGGAAGAGCGTAACTTCGTTGACCAAAATAGTTCGAGTCTTCCGTTGTGCACAGGCGATACCAAGCTGTGACTGTACCGTCGCGAGCAGTTAAACGAATTGATAAACCAGAATCATTTTGACTAGAAATGAAGATGATTTTTGGCGCAAATAAAAACGAATTTCTGAGATACTTACCTGATTTTTGCTAGAACGGCTGCATCAGCTGTCAGGAGAACATCAACCGTATAAAAACTTTCTTCCTCGTCTATGTGATCATCATTGGTTGATGTATTATTGACTGACAGCGATGATGTTTGATTCATTGCCTGAATAGCCACCATCATAGCCAGAGTACATGCAGCATAAAAGCCAGAATTCGGTTTCATATTTCGTTTTTCTTTTGGAACAATAATTTTTGGACGAGAAGAATCTGCCTTATATAGATAGAGAATAAAATGATATCTTGAAACTGGAAATGAGATGAATCTGATAAGAATGATCAATGATCTACAATGAAGTTTATTTTCAGGTTTCCGTCATCCAGTTCAGTCCACTGTTGTTCGAACCACTCGTGTACTTTCGACTCTGCTGAGTATTGTGGCTAAATCCGAATCTCATGACAAATTCAAAGTAACGCCAACATCAATACCATACCTAGCTGCGTTAGTCAGCGTGGTCGAAGAAGTTCGCACACGATGTCCAATCAAGAGTCGTTCACAGATCATTCCGACGTCAACAGCAACCGCACCGTCAAATGCAAACAACGTTCCGCCTGTCTATACTAGTTCAGTTTCGCAAATACCACAATCGCATTCGAGTGCATCGATTGCTGATATTGCAGGTACTGTTCCCGCTATTTTGCCACCGCCACCACCACCACCCCTCCCATCGAGTGTACCTGTTCAGCCAGGAACATTCAATCGGCGATTGAAGTCCTGGGATCCATCCTATTTGGATAAAACAAGAAAAGTCAGCGGTGTATCAACAATTAACAATTCGCGTCTATTATCCATTCCATCACATGCCAAATACTATCAAACAATCGATATTGAAAATGCAATACCACGTATCCTGACGAAACCGGCATCAACATTAATACAATTGCCGCAAGTCAAACAATCGGGGCCAAATATAGCTGTTACACCGCAAATTCTCCCGGAAACACAACAAACACCACAGGTAGTTTTAGTAGAGACGAAAAGTCATGGAATACATTTTCTTTTTTTTTCAGACAAATGGTGAAACGAATTTTTTGTTAGATCCTGATGTATTAACCGATACATCTACTCAAGCATTACTACTAACGATTTTAGCCACTCTCGTCCGCAATACATCTGATGAGAATGAAATGCGAATTTTATACGAATATCTTTCTGAATCAAGTTTCGTCTTTCCAAAAGTTTTTCCTGTCATACACAATTTGTTGGACGCCAAAATCAACTCCGTTCTTTCATTATCACATGACGAATCCATCTTAGCATCCGTTCAAGCAATCATCTACCAAATGATCGCCTGTTCAGCTGGTGATGATGCCAGTCAACAGCAACAGCAATTGAGCTATCTGCAATCATGCGGTTTCGGCGGTCTGTGGCGTTTTGCTGGACCATTCACAGTTTCTCGACAAAATCCTGATAATGTTGAATTATTCGTTAATTGGTTAGAAGCCATGGTAGAAACGTATTTGCCATCTTTGGACGAACTGGAAGATGGATCTGGTAATAGTAATGTTGGTAGTAATTCAACAGGACATCATGGAACACGACACGCATCTTTGCACCATCATACATTACGACATCATCATCATTATTCGGCATCGTCAGCTGCCGCGTGTCTCAATGCGAATCTATCGTCATCACTGTCGAGTGTTTCGATGGATTCGATTCGTTCGCCGACCGATCGAGACACGCAGTTTTTCGATCTGAATGATCTCAATCGACCAACGCAATCACATTCCGTGAGCGGCAGCAGCTATGATCGATCACGTATCACGCAAAAACCAAATCTTATTTAAATATTTATTTTTATTGTTGTGTATTCGGTTTCTATTCAATGTTGTAAATGACTTGTAATTCCATTTTAATCTCTTAATTTTGTATGTTGTATTTTCATATTTGTATGTATAAATATTGTTAAAGAACCTATTTTCGTTTTGTAGATATGTCCACAGGTGTTTACGCACCGTTCATATTTGTAAAAAAAGAAGAGAAACCGCTTGTGACAGACGATGGTCCAACTGAATCAGATCGACGAGTATTCACCGTGCTTGAACATCTGATGGGATCACGGCGAAAGTGGGGAGGTATTGATAATCGATTGATTCCAAGCGATGGATCAGGAAGAATACCTGGCATGGGCACAGCAGGAATGGCGAAAGAAGAATTACGCGTGAAAAGATTCATGGAGAGTTGTACATTCAAAGCAATTATCAGTTGTGCTGGAGGTACAGAAAATGGAATTCGCATAATGCAGTAAAACTGTTTGTTCGTTTTTGAAGGCTTTGTGCTGGGTATTGGTCTTGGTGTGTTCACAGCAAGTATCGATCCGATGTCAACTATCCAGACGACTACACCAGGTGCAACACCAACGATCAAAGATGTTTGGAGAGAAATGAAAGCACGATCGTTGAGTTATGCGAAGAACTTTGCGGTTGTCGGTTTAGTGTTTAGTACGATTGAATGTAACATCGAATCGGTAGGTGGAATCAGTAGGAAGAAAAGAGATGTTAATGTGTTTTTGCGTACATTTAGTATCGAGCGAAATCAGATATTCGAAATGGAACTTATGCAGGTTTTGTAACTGGTGGCTTATTAGGATTTCGCGGTAAGTTGTGCTACATGTGATCACAAAAAAAAGTATGTTCTTCGTCCTTTTCCTCTAGCTGGACTACAAGCAGGTCTTTTCGGTGCTGTTGGTTTCGCTGCCTTTTCTACCTTGATTGAGTATTATCTCTTAAATCATCATTAGTAGCTGTTATTTTTCTATTTGTTTTCAATAAAAATAGGCAAATAGAGTTTTGTTTCACACGCAATCTTCTTTTCAATACCTTTCGCTAAATCATAGACCGAAACAAAACCCAAACATTGATGAAACTTATCAGCATGACGAAAGCGTTTCACTCGAAAATATTCATATGCTGTGTCGGTTCTTTTCACAACGAATCGTATGTCACTCTCATTTCTTGCCATGGTACAACCAACAGTAATATAGTTTAATGAGTGTAACTCATTCATGATCATTCGCATTCATAGTTATTTCTCTTGAATTTTCCACTTCTCACCATTAAGATCTTTTCAATTTCTCACGCTTGTTATCCATGCATATCAACTGTATATAAACACCCAGACACAGAAATTTTCAATAACAACGGGCCCTTTGCTTGTGCTCTATACCTTGAACTCATTCACAGCCACCAAAGATAACATGAATGCATATGTCAACCATCCTCGATCAATTCATTACAATACACCATATGGATCAATAACAGGTAGTAAGATATTCGCAAGAGAATAGTCGAATCTATTGATTGTATTTGCATAGTTGATGGAAGAAACCATCTAAGTGGGAGCAAGTTTATTGCAAAAGAAGCGCTAAGCTTCTTCAAGATGGTCGTTGGCAAAGCCAGTGACTTATTCAGTTTTTAGAGTAATCATCATCATCACAATCGTTGTTTTCAATTTCGTTTCATACATCAGATAAAAAGCGCATATTTGTTATGTATAATTTCTTAGTTCATCAAAATAATCTGATTCTGCACTTCGGATTCAGAAAAATCTGTTGTAGATTGTCAACAGAATCTATGTCTGTCTGAATGACATCTTCCTATCTATCAATTACGGAAGATAAGTAACTACATATGTCAGATAGTCGTTTGTTTTTGTCGACTATATTGATGACTTGTACAAGCGTCACTGAAAGTGTACATCGAGGACTGCCTAACTCCCCCAAGCCTTCAAAATGACACGACGATATTTGCACAGCACTTCTTGATAAACCATTTATTCTCAAATGCAGAATAAACCAATTACTAAACTATACACTGAAATCCTATACAATACAAAGGCCGATTAATTGATTGTTGTTTTTTTCCATAATTTATGTGTGAAGAAGAAATTGTACGAATGCATCGTAAGTTATCGAACCAGTTTTATTCGGATCAGCTTGTCCAATCATATCATCAGCTTCATCTTCCGTTAATTCGCTGTCCCATAACTAAATATTCATACTCGAAAACAAGTCCTCAGTAGGCATGCTCTTACTCGAACAAATCGTTTCAATTCATTAGCATTGATCGTTCCGTTTCCGTCTTTATCAAAAACTCGAAATGTTGCACGAAGTTCTTCTTCCAGATCTTGTTGATTGATCGGTGTTGTCATAATCGAAATGAATTCTCTCATATCAATTCCACCGGAGTGATCTTCGTCTGCTGATCCAAGCAATAATTGTGCTTCATTTTCTACCAAGACCATATCTTCAAGAACAACTCGAGACTTTCCGTACCAACAATAGTTTTGACATACCTGCCGCTTGCGCGACTTGATTTATATCATCGGGACCAACGAAACCCTTCGACTGTATGTCCATAATACTGAACGCCGCTTGAAAATCTTGAATTTTTTCGACCGACAGTTCCACCGGTAATGACAGGGTCTGCGCACGTGTTCTTTCTATTATACCATTCGGATCGGATCCACTCATTATCTGAATATGTAAAGAGTTCGTTATCTTTCTCGTTTAACTTTCTCACTTTCACTTCGTTTAATAAATATTTTCGGATTCTACACAACGAAAAGAGAAAATGAAAGGAAAAAAGATGAGCCATCCGTTCTGAAATCGAAAAAAAAGGAAGCAAAAAAGAAAAAATAAAAAGGTGGTTAAGTGTTTCTTTTTCTTTCGACTGATGAGAAAAGTTCTCTCGATACAACAGCACATACACCATAGAAAAAAAGAAAAACGATTTATATAGAAACAGTGTCAATGCATGTACGTGTGTGTATATATGTGGGAATGCGAATATTTTCTTCAAATTTCTTTCGGTTATTTGATAGCTTGTAAAACACCATTCACTCGTTTCGAGGTGATTTCACCATCTTCTTCTATGACCTCTGTCACTTGACCATTTTCCTCCACTCTGTGAATATACAAACAATATATTTCCAAAGAAAAAGCCTGGAAATATTACCTCGTCGTTGTGACACGTCGGCCGTTGACTATTTTAGTTGATTTGGTAGTTTTCTTCGAAATCGGTCGAGCTCCATTGCCACTACTAGAAGTCAACATGCTCGATTTGACGTTTTCTTTGACTTAAAATGTAATCTATACGAACCCGAAGGAGAAATTGAATGATGAAATAGTTCCCATATTATCTCCTCCGACATCACCGGCAAATGAATGATGATTGAACAAAGACGTTCTCATTGGAGAAAAGAAATTATCGAACAAAGTCATCTGTTGAGGTGCACGTCTGATATTGGAATTGTTCGGATCTCGACTACTACGACGACGATGTAAATCAGCGAATGGATGCATACCAAAACCTAGACGAAAAAGAAAAGATTTGCCCAGTCAAACATCTGTACATTGGACAAGAAAGAAAAGAAAACAGGTTTAGTTGCACATTTTCCATCACCTCATGCGCAATGCAAGCATCATTCATAAAACGACAAAAGTTCCCTTCGAATCGATCTGGTGTTCTCACCAGTACGTAGGATTTGGTGCGTCCAGATGTCTAAAAGTAAGCCAGAAGCAACGTATGCAAGCTTATGCTTATATTGCTGTTGTTTTTTTTTGGTTTCATGTGTTTTTTTTTACATATATGTTGATTGGATTAAGGGACACGTTTACTTTCACTTACCAAACTCATCTTCCATGCCGAAGTGTGACATGAATTGTTCAAAGATATCGAATGGATTGTGAAAATGAAATGTTCGATTAAGAAAGTCTTCGGAAAATCTGTCATAGCCTTCACGCGATGAAGAACCACCACCATGTCCATTGGTAAAAGCTCCTCTACCCAACTGATCGTACCGTCGACGTTTATCTTCTGGAAATTTTTGGAAGAAAAAGAAAAGAAACAAGTTATTGTTGTTAGTAAAGAGCGTTCAACGAGCAGCAGCAGTAGTCGTCATTTTCTACTTCGATTCCAATTTCCCGTATTTATGGCAATTTTCTACGTGGAATTTTTACCTTTACTTTTTTCCTTGAAAACTGGCTTATTATTAAGTGCTGTTTCATTTTTCTGACGGATACTACGTCGAATACTTTTTAATGGCGAAGTTAATTTCGTTGAATTATCTGATATTGCATCATTGATTGTCGGTGAGGGACGTTTGTCTCCTGTATCAGTTTGAGAACTCATATGTCTCATCGATTTCGCACGGCGAAGACCAGGACTAGCTGGCAAAGGATAATCGTCGAGTGTTTCGTAACTGATTAAGCGAAAATCTTGATACGGATTTTCCGTTGGTTTCGTATTTGGAATTTCTAATAATTCGATAGATTTGATATTATTGGGAATTTTATCTGCACCCAATGCGACAGCAGATGAAATGATGCCTTGTTGACCAAGGATTAGAAGTTTATCGCGTTCATCTTGGGATGGAATGGGTTGAGAGATAATATTATCCATCAAAGTGCATGGTTTGCGTAGGAAACAATTTAGATTTGTCTTTGGAAATTCGATGTCATCGATACGATGACGAGGCGTTTGTTCTTTGACTGGCGGAAGGAACGTCGGTGCTTGAATGAATTTTGCACGATGAATCGAATGAATGCGAGAAGTTTGACTTTTAATAGGATTGAAGTTTTCCAGGGTTGCAGCGAACCGTGCAGCTTCTAACTGCTCTTCAACAATTCGAGCTAATGCTGCCGAATCAAATTCGCGCGAATCACTTGTTGAGGAGATCGTCGAGCGTCGACGCGGTTCCACGTACGTTTGTCGCCGTTTTATAGTTGCTTTCTTATGATGATGGTGATGAGTTTCGGATTTCACTAGTTTTGGTTCTAGCGTTTGAGGTGCGATCGGAGGCATAACTACCGGCGTTTGCTGAGGCGGGGGATGTTGTACCGGTTGTGGCGGTGTGGGTGATGGTTGCTGTGGTGTATGTTGTTGTTGTTGTTGTTGCTGCTGCTGCTGCTGCTGTGGTGGCGACGGTGGCTGCTGTTGCAATGGTGTAGTCTGTTGATGATGTTGTGGAGAATGTCGAACGTAATCGTGCATTTTAATGAGACGATCGATGTCGTTTGAGAGATTAAGATTAGAGAAGCGATTATTTTTCATCATAGTTTCATTTTCTTCCGGAATAATATTGATATATCGTTTAACGAATTTTAGATCGGAATTCTCTCGATCGACATGAAAGTCATAGTAAACTGACATGTTTATTTCATGAACGACGCGTGGCTTCAATTCATTTTCGCTTTCCGTTGTGGCTGGAATTTCCTCATAGTCGTTTTTATTCGTGGAGAGAATAAACGATGGCAGATCTTCTTTATCGAATTTATCGTGTTGTTCGAATTCTTTCTGGCAAACGTTAAGAAACTCGTCATCATCAATGATCGTACGAAACAGCTCTTCTAATTCTTCGTTGGTACGCTCGCTATAAACAATTGATGAGCCCAGTTGATCATAGAGAAACCGTCCACGACCTGTTTATGCATGTAACAAGGGGGAAAAAGAAACGACTACTGCTGATGCTGTTTTTTTCAACAAGCAAGAGGAAAAAGGCTTTGTCTTTTTCCTTTCTATCTTCTTCGTGTACTCACTGTCTGAGAGAACTTCGTACGCTTCGGAGATTAGCTTGAACTTTTCTTCGGCTTGACTCTTGTTTTGAAGATTTTTATCTGGATGCCACTAGAAAGAGGCAGAGAAAGATTGTCAACAATGAAAGTTTGATGAATATTGTACCTTCAAAGCTAATCGACGATATCTAAAAATAGAACACATAATTCAGTTAAATGATTACAATCTCAACACAAATAACATACGCTTTCTTGATTTCATCTTCGGTGGCCGTCTTCTCGACTTCGAGTATTTCATAGAAATCGGTCATTGTAAGAATTGACTAAAAACAAAAGTCGAACTCATTCATGTTTTCTCTGGCAAGTTTTCTCGACAAAAATATTTCTATTTTCATTACGCAGTAGTTACTTGTCTTCTACTCATCTAAATATACTCTGTTGTCCATGTCTCCTTTTCTTCTTTTTCTTTCTTTCTCTCTCTCTCTCTCTCCCTTCTCTCCTTCGACACAGCGAAAGCAAATGCGCCAACGCTCGTACACATCTTACGCTTTCGACTAGCTAACTATGTACATTATGCGTGCAGAGAAAGCAAAAGAAAACAAAAAACGATGAAAGACAGACAACGTCATTTTATTATGACGCTACGTCGTACAATGATCATCCTTGTTGCAATTGACTGCTCGTCAAAGTCTACCTTGAACTGTTCGACAATGATCTTGACAGAGGAAAAAAGAAAACGAAATGTATGAAAACCTTCACGCCGCAATGCTATTATGAGAAAAATTCTGAACCGGGGTGAATGAGCATCGAATCAGAAGTGCATACCTATCAGTTGATTGTCGTTCTAGATAATTTGACAAGGGACAGACAGCAAAACGAAAAGAGGGTCAATATAAACGAAACAATATTACAACGCAAATTCCATGAATAATGACTGTCTCGATGAGATACCGCCTTATCTATGTCACATCTCGTCTGATCCGACGACGAAAAGAAACGCAAGTCTACTATTCAACGCTACCTACTGAAATGATGTCATTTCTTGAAGAAAGTTTGAGAAGTTGTATGTGCTTATGCAAACAAGAAGAAATCTTTCTTCACTGGAAAAAACCTTTTCTTCCGACCAAAATTTGTAGTCAATACGATAACAGAGCAAGGAGAAGCAATCATAAACTTGTCATAATCAAAACAGAACACGTACTTAATTGTGATTTTTATTTAATTTACTTCTGGTGGATTGATCATTATTCGTTTTTTATTAAGAAAAAAGGCGGGGAAATGTAAATGGACGTCACAAATGAAGGACAAATAAATAAATAGAAGATGAAGAGAGAGCGAGAGAGAAATGAGAGGATTCCACTGATTGGTCGGGATTTCCGCCAATCACCATCGAGCATCCATTTGCATTGCTATGTCACCTATCGGTATATATCATGCATCATCGTCATGTGCTTTGACTACTAACTACTATCAGCTGCTCTTGTCTAGTGATTTGTCGTAGTATATAATGAGTAATAATGACGATAGATCTGCGCATTCGAAATGTATAGAAGACTTACCTGAAGAAATTTTATTACGAATCTTTCGATTTATCTTACCGTATAAGTAAGATGCACTGTACAGATTTCGCAAGAAAAACAAACATTCTTTCGTTCGTGTCTTTTTTTTTGTCTTTTCAAGCGATTATGTAGCTATTCGACTTGTATGTCGACAATGGGAAAGACTATGGCGTGATACCAAACAATGGCGACTAGAAAACTTTTCGAGTCAGATATCATTGTCTACATCACCTGTCTCAATTCATTGGCAATTACTGGATCCGCCGACGAAGTTTAACCTCACACCGCGATTCGCTCATTCGACGTGTTATGTTGCTTCCAAACGGAAGTTGTATGTTTTTGGTGGCAGTCGAGATATGTCAACGACACTCAACGATTTTTGGCATTTAGATTTATCGACCCGAAGGTCAAATTGATTTGAAGAGTTTTTCTTGCGTTTGCAAATTGAGTTTCTTGTCTTTTTGTTTAGTTGGGAACGAATTTTACCAACAGGACAATACCCACCACCGAAATGCTCGTCTACATTTGTCGATGACGAAAATGGCAACTTGATACTTTTCGGTGGACGATCAATGATCTACACGGATGACATACATATGCGAGAACAGCTTCATCATGAACTGCATTCATATTCATTAGAAAACAATACATGGAATCTGCATGTAAGTTTGAATGAACCCGGTCCGATATCTGAACACAGTGCATCGATTGCTATTGTGAATAACCAAAAACTCATGGTTGTTTTTGGTGGTTTGGTTGGAGCAGTCAATCAACAAGCGGTCCTTCAACTAACGGACGATCTGTGGCAATGGACAAATATCGAAACGAATACATGGTCGATGGTGCAAGTTAATGGACTTCGCCCGGAACCGAGAAAAGGTAATTTCACACGAATCGACAAGAAAACAAATGGAAGGTCATGATTTGTAGGTCATTCTCAATTTACGTTGGATGCCGACCAGATTCTTATTGTTGGTGGTTCATCTCTAACTCGCGTATGTCGCGACGTATGGCTTTTTTCATTTCAAACCAACCAGTGGACACAAATCACTGTAAATAATCAACATCCGAACGATTTCGCGCCCAGCAATGAGGACCTGCCCCACATTCCATTTTGTCTCGTTGCTTCTTCTCAACTGTTAATCACATTCGGCCGATGGAAACGACATCCAACGGAAAACGAACTTCGAACATACAGTGAATATGATTTTTCCCACTGTGATTCCAAATCTCGTGAACAATTCTTCGCACCTCCAAGTAGTTCCAGTGATGACAGTGATGAACCTGCTCGTTGTACAAATGCCTGCCGACGACCATTCTTACCTCCAATGAAAACGAAGTACAACCTATTGGAACTTTCCACTGGCTTACAGATGTATCGTCTAGACTTATCGAAGATATTCTCTTCAGCTCCATGCGTAACGTGGTTACCTTCGAAATGTACAACAGTATTCGGTAGTCCAACTCGTTCATCTCGATATTATTCGTTGAATTGTGCACGAAGTGAATTGATTCTTTTTGGTGGAATAGAAAAGCGCAAGTTGCATTTACAAAAACCTTCCTCAGAGAATGATCATCGATTGCAATCGATATCAGGCACTCTTGCTTTTATCACAATATCAAATGTTTCTCTTTAGGTAAACAGCTAAATATAGAATTTCCTATTTATTTCTAGATAGAAAAACTAAAACACTATGCGTTGGGAATTTAAAGTCGACAATTCATTTGAAGTTCGTCGTGCTGAAGGTATGATACGATCATACATCGATTCCGTTTCTTATGTATAAGATCACTTCTAGGCGAACGTATTCGTCGGGAGTACCCTGATCGATGCGCAGTAATTGTCGAGCGTGCACCAAATTCACACGTACCTGATCTTCCATCGAAGAAATATTTAGTCCCAAGTGATCTCACTGTTGGACAGTTCTACTTTCTTATCCGCAAACGCGTTCAACTCCGACCTGAGGACGCACTTTTCTTCTTCGTTAACAACGTAAGATTGATTATTCGCACAACATATCGAGCACGACCTTCGCTCTTTTTTCATCATAGACTATTCCAAATACGTCAATGACGATGGGTACACTCTATCAAGAACATGTAATATGATTCGACTACAGGAAAAACGAAACTTTTACAAATAACTTTTCTTTTCTATAGGCAGACGAAGATAAATTTCTTTACGTTGCATACAGTGACGAATCAACCTATGGTTAACACAATGCGCATCGTTCGATTCGGTTCTGTACATTACATAGACCTTTTCTTTTCAATAATGACGATTTAAGCCGGTAGAACATATCTTGTCAATGTATATTGTAACCTTGAACTTTGTATGATTTTTCTTTGTCAACTATCTTGAATATATTTACTCGAGATTATTAGCTCATATGATATTCAATCAGCTTATGTTATCATGCGGATACGAAATAGTTTGCCTTTCAAATATTATCTCCTAGACATGCGAAATGTTTCTGTGAAAGAACTTAAATATCATCCATGTGATGTCTGTCACGTGAAGGAATTCTGGCATTTAGCCAGAAATCTATTCAATGATATTGTTTAGATAAGCGAGCAACGCAAAAGAGCGACGATATGGAAGTCAATTTGCTTTACATTTTTTGAGAACGAATGTTCGACCTTGATGGTTTATCAATCACAATTGTTGGCACTTGCGATACTTGAGGTGCTAAATTATACACAGGCAGTGAAAAGTACGAGTTCTCTCCTTGTTTGAGTAAACTGGCAAAAGCTGCATACCAAGCAATGATAGATGTAATGATTCCAAAAGCACCCGCTGCTCGTTGTAGGTTGTAATCGTTGTTTTGAAACTTACACGCTGTAAGAAGAATAAATGTGAGGGTTAAAAACGCAAATAATGCAACTAGAGCAACATTCGTTCGAAGAGATGAGACGAGCATAGCTGCTGTAAAAATCGTCCAAGCGAGAAAAAATACACCAAATGCTTGGTTCACTGTTGTTGAATCCATGTAAGTTATAAAACCGAAAAATCCACTGTATAACGAAGATAATCCAAGCCAAAAGCCACCATACGAGCAAAAAGCCAACGCACCGAAATTATTTCCAATTCGAAATTCTAGTAAACCAGCTATGAGTTGAATTAAACCACCGTAGAAAAGAGCGAGACCCATAACAACACCATGTGAAGCTGTTACAGGTATTCCGACGCCTGCATTGTACATCGAAAGAATAAATGTCGTCAATGCAAACGCACAAAGACCAAGTGGTGTTGGATTTAGACGTGAGTGTGGTGATGATTGTGCCGAGTATGATTTCATCAAACGCTCAAATTCGACAAACCGTTCATAGGCTTGTCGTGTTGAAGCGTCGACATTTTCATAAAGACCGGGCTCTGTCGAAGACATCTTTTTTCTTTCGTGCACTCAGTAAGATATTTAAAGAAATGATTTGGATTTTGTATTTATCGACCGAACAACTGGTTATACTTCATTTGGATTTATTGTTCGTCAAATAGAAGCACGATAAAATATCGCATTGTAACAGTAGTATACAAACGATAAATAAATCGTAAATCCGAAAAACAAGATTTGAGAATGTTGATTACGGCTGTAATAAAAGTCTCACTACAAATCTTTTTTTTGTGAAAAATAACATGCTTTTGTTCAAGAAAAACTCTTTATTTAACCTTAAAGTTAACTCGATGAAGTCTATCTCTCTCACATTCGTTTGTGATAAGCGAAATCTCTTTTGTATGATGATAACGTATATGTGTCAGTCTTTGTTGCAACTAAAGGATGCATCTGTGGACGCTCTGCATCTTTTTATTGCGCATAATTCGCTCTACATGTAGTTTGCCGACAATATATGTTGTTCCAAGTTTACGATCGATTGGTGATGAAGACGGCACATTGAAAAATCCATTTGCAACCATTGAGCAAGCTCGCGATCATCTTCGGACGATCTTTCGAGACTCAATGCAACGTGTTGCACTCTATCCAACATATTATTACCTAAACGGTCAGACATTGTCATTCGATGAACGTGATCATTCAACAGTTTATACGGCAATGTCAAATAATGAACGAAATCAAATAACACTCGAGAGGAGAAGAGATTTGATTGAATTAGAGTTTCCAATCATCAGTGGTGGTATTCATCTTATTGATTGGATCGTTGATGTACAAGTATGTTTCATTCGGAAGACTTCTTGTTAAATATTCAATGTATTGACATTTAGATTTGGCGTATTCGCATTCCACGCTTTCTCCCTGCAGTCACGCAATTATTTGTCAACGGTCAACGTGCTGTGCGTAGTCGTTTACCAATCAATGACTATTATCACTATGATAAAGGACTGGATAATCGTACTCAACTCGCTTATCGAAGTTTTGTCTATCGTGAACATCAGTTTGATAATATTACACTTAGTTCGACGTCGTGCAGCGAAATTATCATCTATCATTCGTTTACCACTTCTCGTCATTATTTCTCGGAGATTTTCCCACAAAATCGAACAATACTTTTTGCAAATCCATCATTATCTGTCATTGGTAATACGACCATTAGTCAACAATCTGGTCAACGTTTTCATCTCGAAAATATTTATGAAGGAATGATCGTACAAGAAGGCTCATTCTTTTTCGATTCGCCGACACAAATGTTGTATTATCATGCACGATCGAGTGAACATCCTCGAAATACTTCTATTATCCTACCGATACTTGAAATTGTCCTATCAATGGTTAATGCTACTAAAATCGAATGGAATTCAGTTGGAATTGAGCATAGTGCATGGATGACATCGGCGAAAGCGAATAAAAGTATTCCCATCGATGGACGAGCAGCCGCTGATTATCTAAATCGATCTACCGTAGCGATTTATCTTCGTAATTCGACTGAAATTGCATTCAATCAAGTCGAAACAGCACATATCGCTGGTTATGCGATACAAATCGATGAGAATTGTCAAGGAATTCGAATTGAAAATAGTCAAATGTATGATTTAGGAGCCGGTGGAATAAGAATCGGATTAGCTGAACATAATCGGAAACAATTCATAGAAAATATTCTCATCAAGAACTGTACCTTCTACAATAACGGTCATCTCTTCCCGATGGGCGTTGGTATTCTCGTTCAACTTGCAACGAGAAACGTCCTAATCACCCAAAATACACTCTACGCATTTTACCATACGGCTATTCATATCGGTTGGTCATGGTAAATGTTCGCAACAAAACTTCCTTCAATTTTTCGTGTACTAATGTATTCGTTTAGGGACTACGACGAAAGTTCATGTTACAATCAGACAATCTCTTTTAACTACATTCATCATCTTGGCCAACATACATTGAGTGAACTCGGTGGTATATACACATGTGGTGTGTTGAACGACACGTTCATCACGAACAATGTTCTACATGATATCTTCGGATACTTCTTACATGATTGGGGTATCTACTTAGCTGATGGTAGTTCACAATTAATGGTAACGAATACAATTATCTACAACACAGGTTCAGCTGGAATTACTATGATTTATGGTTTTAACAACACATTTCGAAATAATGTGCTTGCTCGATCGAGTAATGAAGGTGATGGAGAACTATCGCTGTACCGTCGTGAAGCAAAAGATCATTTAGTATTTACATTTTACAACAATATTGTTTATGATACTGTTAATGACACCGGTCGTTGGATATTCCAAGTTCAAGCGCCAGATCCCTTTTCAGCACCATATGTGATCATGGATCGTAATTGTTACTATAATTCGTTTGAAGCTATGTTCATATTTGGCCTTGGTCGACTAGTTTTCAGCGAATGGCAAGAAACCAATCACGACACGAATAGTTTTATCGGAGATCCGTTGTTTCTCCACGCAAAAAGCCAATGTAACTTCTTTCAACTTAATCCGAATAGTCAAGCCGTGCAATATTTAGGTTTTAAACCGATCGAACAGCTACCTCAATGGAAGCCAGGATGTTAAAATTGAATAAAATGAAAGTCAGCTCCTTCTTGAGAACAAGCACGGATAAAGATTGTATTAATAGAATCTCTTGCATATTATTTTCAGTATGATATTACATGTAAGCATGCAAACAAAGGTGCACGCTGATTTTCAGTTCATTTTTCTTTCACTTTGAGATTAAAACATTAATTTATAATGAAAAGAATGACCTAGAAGGTTAAAATTGAATACTGATGATTGTTTTCGACAGATAGAATAGAATAGTACTTGAGAGAATCTTTAAACATGCGAGTGACCGCGTGTCTATTTTGTCATACAAGCACTGATACTGTCACTTCGATTAAGTTCGCTGCATGTATTCATCATTATTTTGAAACTACCGCTCGTGTAGAAGATTTTCTACTTTGGCCATGACAGTTAGTCTTCCTATCGTCACTGTAGTACAGCGAACAGAACCTCGTATGCATATAGTCAATCATTTGTTGATGTGTAGCACAGCTATGGCAACAATCTTATACTGTATAACGATGGTGAAGTGGTGTCGCTGGTGTGGTGTATTCCTATCTTATTCAAGCTGAATCAAGGTTCTTCTTTTCGAACTTGGCCCAAAAAATATCAGCGACCAATATCATTCAAGACTCATCTTAGGATGCGTTGTACTGATGGCCGCTAGACAAAAACATATGACGCAATATACAAGACAACAATATGTTTGATATTCAGTTGATAGTACTTCTATTGGCAATATTAAAACTTTTACGAACATTTGCATCTTTACTATATACATGAATAGTTTAATCTGGTTAAGGTATTAAAGTACTCCTAATAAATCGGATTAATATTGAATAGAACGGATCGGTCGTTGAACAAATCGTATCATGTGCAATAAACAATAGTATAACATTTGTAAGTTGATATGCATAGCGTTTAAATCATTCAATGGTGTTAAACTTTTCGATTGTTGCCCATAACTATCCTTTCGATCTTGTCCATTGTTGTCTTCTTGCGAAGGTTCTTCATCGTCATCATCATCGTGTCGATTGAGATGCAACAGTAATTGAAGAAGTGTATCGCGATGTACCCATCGAGCAGTTCTGTACTGATGCCATCCACTGGCACGATGATAGAATACTCGTAATAGATCAGGAGATACCGCAAATAATTTCGGACCGGTGGTACTGATAGTTCTATAGTGAATCGCATTTTCTACAGGGCACGAAGATCCCTGGCGACTGAACTCATAGCGCAAGTCTTCCCATGACGATCGGATACCCACAGCCGTACGCGTGATTCCATCCTTATCGTAAATAAAAGCACATGCCTCTAGTTCCCAATATGACATTTGTTTATGCTCTTGAAAGAAAAAAGAAATAAACACGAATGTATGGGTCTCGTAATAGAAGGGTTATGTAAAAGTAAAACTACGACGGGAAGAAAAATTGTTCCATAGAAACGACAAATGAATATTTTTCTCCTGGTAGACAAGACTCGTAAAAAACAAAATTCTTTGCTGACTCCTCCTTACTCTGCTAGTTTACTAAATAATGGTGTCAGAGCAAGAATGACCTTCGCTTTGTAAAACTTGATCGCAATTAGCTCTTCAAATCAAATTTATATGAATGGTTCTCATGAATATCAATCGAATAAGCTGTGAACGAAACGCTGCGTACAATCGTCTAATTATCTATAGATACCAGCGATGCATCATGCAAATCCTTACATTAATATTCCAGATGAAATGTGGTCAACATGTATGACGAAGCAATTTACAATAAGCAGCAATAAAAAGGAAAAAACCGAGATGAAAGAGAATGGAAAGGAAAGAAAAGAACTATGGTTGCCTACTCTTTTTTATTGAATATGCGCATTTGTATTTCATGAAAGAGAAAATCAGTAATCATTCAAATGTCAGAATGGTCATCTTACCCCGAATGAATAATAAAAGATGAGTCTTTGCTCGAAAACACGAAATCTCGCCAAATGAGGAGAATAGAAAGCAAAACGATAGAACAAAATTAGAAATAAACATACGCTTTAAGAGAATAGTCAGTTATCTATTGCGAATAATCTACTTTGAAAATCGCCCACTTACGACGTTAGTTTGCGCGATCCGTCTTTTGTTTGCATTCATAAGTATGTAAATAGTTTCTCTCGAATAATTTATTGAAAAAAGAGTAAATGTTATGATAGCACACACGAAAAAGGAATGTTTCGGAATTGTTCGATAGCAGTCTGGATTATTCGATGCATGAAAATTAGCTCACCAACCTTGTAATGCTACACCTTGCCCATCAGGAAAATTATCGGTCAGTATGCGAATCCAATCAGCTAAAGCCCAAACACCAAAACCGCCAAGTGTTAGTAATTTAAATACACCTGCTGTAATATACCCACCGCTGCCAGCCGCTAAATAGAACCAATCGGCTCCGAAGCAGCCTATGAAGAACGACAGTAAAAATGCATTGAGTTTTTTCTTTTGTTCATAGGCACATGGCTGACTAGATTGAACGGTAACATAACCACTTGTAGTACAGTTACATGTATTCGTGGTCAAGGAGCATTTACCATTGGAACCACAATCACTATTGGAAGTGCACGATGTTGTAGCAAGCGAAAGTGAAGGGACAATTTGAATGCTGTATAGAAGGACAATAAAGTAGAGTAGATATGCTGTGGACATTTTATCGTTGACTACTGAAAATAGCGACAGAAACCAAGGTATTTATAGTCAGTCAAATTCGTCATGTTTACTCTAGCAGACGGGCTTCTTTGACGGCCACAAAATCAGTTTTGTTGGAATAATTTCGTTTTACAGCACTTCCGAGCATACAATGAGTAATTATATACCAATATTTTCTATTCTTCTTCTTCCATTGTTGTAGCAACGAAAGTATAATCAGGGTAGTTTCCGCATACAAAAGGTAGCCTCCAAGATAAATCGCTGTTTCAAATAGACGAACGTTGCTAATCCACTGTTTATCATGACTCATTCTTCGGCAGTCATTCCTGCGGCTCCACAACACATGCAATTGAATAGCTTCTCTAAAACCCGTAGAGCGGTGTCTAATCATTCATTCAACTATCATCTCCGTCTATGTACAATGTGAACTGTTTGATAGAAACGAGTCGACAATCGAAAAATGCTTGTTTTGATCCGACAATAACAACTATATGAAACTCTTTCATTCTTTTGATCGAAAACAAACGTGCATTACGAAAAGCAGGTGTGAAAATACAAAAATAAGCGTCATCATTTAACATTCTTGCCTTTACAACAGAGGACGCTTTCTTTGTTCATTAAAGTCTGTCATACTTTTCTAAGTTTTCCAATAAATTTCTTTAATTCAACCCATAAAAATTCACGCTTTTATTTATCTCTTCTTTGTGTTAACCTTAGTTGCCAAGTAGAGTCCCAACTGAAACTAAAAACAAGTTTGATTGTGATTTATCCCGACGTATTCTTTCCCAAATGCAGAGCAGACTTTCCAAGCAAGGTAATTCAACATATTCGTATTCCAGTCAGCCAAAAGCTGCTCAACGACAACGATTCAAATTTCGACCAACAGTAGTTCCACCTACGTACGTTTTTTTCTGGAAAACTATCCTCCCGTCCCCATTCGATTCTTTCCGTTTAGAAATGAATCGATTTCGGTGGGAAATCTTATGTACGATCGTCGTATCGTTCGTGGAAATACCTATGCTATGCATTCGCTTCCGACAGTAAAATCTGAACTTTCAACTATAAATCTTTTTCCATTATTTAGTTGATCACAGCAAACACCACTAAATCTAATCACTATTCAGCGTCAACAGGAAGCAAGACAACGTGTTGCCGCTCGACGAAAAGCTCGGCAATTCTTTCGAACTGTAACCCCTGAGCCAGTTCAAGATCGTAAACATATCAATGTGCAAACTGAACTTTATCTCGAAGAACTCACGTAAGTTTCTTTCTCATTCGAAATCGAGACTGCTCATTCTAATTCGAGCACAAACACATCTTCGGAAACGATTTTCAGTTATTAACTGTCTATACCGTCCTTCTCAATGGTTAATTTAGTAACACATTTATGTCCAATTATTATCTTCATTTTCTCTCATTAGATTAATGCATTTGAACATAACATCTTGAAATTCTCTTTAGTGACCGAGTTGAAGAGGCAGACGTATTTATTCAAACAGATCGATTTCTCGATCGACCCCCGACACCATTGTACATTCCGCAAGCGACTGGTAGAGATACTGCTACACAGATCGAAACCGGCGATGTAAATCTCATCCATTCTTCCTTTCACTACATTGACCATCTGTTTTAGTTGTTCAATTTCAATGTGGAAGTCCGACCGATTGTTGAAGTTCTTGCTGGACGAACTGTTGAACAAGCTTTGGTTGAAGTTTCTCAAGAAGAAGAGATGAGAAGAATGCGCGATCAACAACGAGACTACGAAGAATCGCGTAATGCGGAATTGGTTGAATTACAGCGATCTGAAGAACAAGAGAAGCGTTTGCGTACGGAAAAAGATCGCCGTATGCAACAAGAAGAAGAAGTACATCGTGCAGAGCGTGAAGCGCAAGAGAAGATTGCCGCTCGAGCTTTCTCACGAGCGTATTTACAAGATCTTGTACCAAGTGTGTTCAACAATCTGAGAGAAAATGGCTACTTCTACGATCCTGTTGAACGCGGTTCGGATTTTGAAGTTTTCATATGCAAATCTTAGCAAAACTCCAATGTTTTTTAGAAACGGAAGCGTCATTTATACCTTGGTTGATGGATCAAACTATGAGCCAAGTAAATCAATTAAATATTAGTCGAACGCTGCTTGATTCGACGATTCGAGATGTTGTTAATCAACGTGTGGATCAATATCAACGGTTGAATGATTCACTTCGACAAGTAAATCTTGAATATTTCTACAAATTGAAATATTTCCTATTCTTTTTTCACAGTCGAATCATAGTGGTTCCAGACGGAGCAGTCGTCATGGTTCGGAGAAAAGTCTCCAACGACAAAAATCGACTTCCAGTGACCACAGAGCACCCAAGGAATGAATTAACCTGCCGAATGACCTTTTTTCATGTTTAGAATAAAGAAAAAAGAAACAACTTTCATTGATAGTTTTCGTTCGACTCATCGATCAAACGAAGTTTTGTCAATTACGACAAAAACCCATTGTTCCACATACACAAGAAAAGTAGATTTTCTGCACGGCTTGTTCTTTTCTATTCGACTAACGCCATGCAATTGCGCCCTCTTCGTTGCGCTACAGTAATTGGATAAACAGAAATCATGCGACTCTGACATCTTTCTTTTCTCTTCTATTCATAACAACAACCAGTGATTTATTTAACAAATAAGGAAAAGCTATGGAAAATAATAGAAATGAACGAATACCATCGGAAACGAATGTTCGCATATCATTTCCATACTTAACAAATTTAATTGTTAGTTTACCATTTGTCGGCATGGTGGCAAGTTTTATTACCTCGGTTCTCTTCACCAAAGAGCAAATATTTGAATCCGAATGTGGATCTCGCAATTTTATTCCATCGTTCTCTTCCGTCATTGGTGTGTCACCCGGTAAATACATTTGGCGCATGGCCATTGCATTTCATTGCTTTCCGCGATTCTTAATCGCTTCACTCTATCATAATCAGTTTCGAACAAGTCTGTCGAAATTGAAATACAATTCGGGAATGAAATACTTCATTTTAAGACAATTGATTCGATTGAACACGTTCTTTGAATTATGCGAAGTTTTCGGCTTAATTCTTTTGTCTTACATATCATCCAAAGAAGACTATGCTCTTCATGAAAAGGCATTTATTATCTTTATGTTGTCGTCAACACTTCGAATGATTACCTGTTTAATTCTCTTTCGACAATTGCTATACAAATGTTGGCTAATTCACGAATTTGATGAAAAGAATAAGAAATTTCGCTTTCAAACATCCTACCAATGGAAGATGCGTTTATTCTGTTCGGCATTTATCTTTTCGCTCCTATTAGTATTTGCTTACATAAGACATACGAGCAAATGCTCGAATAACATTGGTCAACCGTCGACAGCGTGGAGTTATTTTTCCGCCTGTGAATATATTATCTGCTGTTTAATTATGGGCTATCACGCGACAGTAAGTTAACTCGAGAAGTTTTTTTTTGTTGATCAACGTCACACTTTCATCCGTAGGTTTGTTGGGATTTCAATCACTTCGAATTGACGATTTATAATAAAACAACGGCCAAATTAAACTATGATTGTGAGAAAGAGAACGATCACGAACGGAAAGACTCTTATGTTGTTTCCCGCTAACATTTCACCAGACCTTTTCAAATTCATTTCTGATCTTCCTCGCGTCTTTGATGTGCATTATTTTTCAGCTTTTGTACAACGTTTTTCTTTTCATTAACACACACTTACCTTGTTTGCTGGATAACGAAGAAAAAAAACAACTGATCAAACAATCGCTGATTGAAGTTGAAGTCGTTCTATTGCACTGACTTGACATGTAAGTCAGTCGGTTTTCAAAAGTCAATCATAATTCAGTTCCAGTCAGTCTGATCGACAGTGATGAGGAAGACCGACAATTGAAAGAGACTCTTACTTGATCAGATTACACAAAGGAAGAGAAAGAAAAACATGCAAATGAGTATCTTGTCGACGAATAGGAAAAAGCTCGCTTTCGAAGAGTATCCAACATCACCGAATCAAAAGGAATCTTTATAAATAAATAATCAATATCGAGTTTCGATTTGCAAGGAAATCACATTTCTCGTTTTTTTGTTTTATTTGAGATGTAATAAGAAATGTTATATTATAAATAGACTTAAGAATTCTCGTATTCATTGAGTTTAGTTTAGTGTTGTTTTATAATGTTGAATGAATGAGAAAGAGAGAGAGAGAGAGAGATAAAGAAGAGAAAGCATGAGATACACAGAACAACAATGTATGTACAACAAACAAAGAAGGAAAGCAATGAACAGAACAGAACAAGAGAGACAAAAATCACGGCGGTTCGCATTGTTTTAAAATATGAACAGATCTTGAAGAAACCAGAACGTATAGACTTTTGTTTGATTCATATTCAGATGTAAAGATTCATCTAGGCTTCCGTATCTTCATGACCACTGTCATGACCTTTGAGGCGTATACGTGCAAATTCTTCGAATATGAAGTCATCGTCATGACCAGTATTGTCGAAACTAAATTTCAAAGAATCGATGAATCGGTTTGTTCAGATGAAACGTAGGAAAACAAACTTTGTGTCAAGTTGAATCAAATTATGATCGATTGGGATGTCAACTGCTTGTTGATCGTTCACATTCTGTTGATTAGTAACAAACTCGAGTTGTCGAGATGGTGAAGGTGTTGGCGGAGGTTTAGGATGTGTCAACGTAAATGGTAATTCCACTGCTAAATCTCTGCAAAAGATCCAAATCGTATGTAATTAGCAAAGAATGTCAAGTAATGAACAAACCCTCCCATAGCGACAATTAATTTAACTTTCACTTTGTATTGCACGATGATGCCAAGATTTTCCTTTTGTGTTGTACTTCGAATTCTACGATGAAGCAATTACGAACGTCAACAGGTTCATTCGCGAATAAACTTACATAGTTGACGAAGCTAAATTCGTATCTTCGTGCTTCAATTTGCCATCCAGAGCAAGACCACGTTTATCTTTGTTGTTTGCCAAGAGCGGCGTTAAAGAATACACTTTCGTTAAAGTCGAACAGGGCGTGATTGGAAAGCCTTCGCTGAAAAACATCGAGAGAACAGTTAGTAAATGTTAGCGATTTCGACTTCATAATCAAAAGCAAAAATCAAGCATAGAAGAAACAAAATGCATACTCAGTTTCCAATTCGGCGACAGTACATTTGTAATGAGCATTGGTAAACATACAGATTTCAGCATATTGCTTAACTAGAATATATTTTCAAAGCGCACAACATTAAATCGCAACATCGATCAAAGCGACAGTTAAAGAGAGAAAGAGAGAGAGAGACAAAACATAATAAAATACCGAGCAAATCGAGAAAAAAAAGTAACCTACCTTGATTCAATAACAGCTACATCACACTTGTACTGTGTTGATGAGTACAAGCAGATTTCAGCATATTGAACAACTACAGATCGGTAATCAGGGATTGAGAGATAGACAAGTTTTATTTTCAGAAGAAGAAAAGGCGAACTACTCAACGCGAAGACCAACATCGTCGTCTCAGTCGACCGATTCTTACCTGATATACGAATTTTTCGTAAGGTTTTGCTGGAATTATTTGTAACCACGACATTAACGTTGATACTTTCACCGTGATAATACATCTAGAATCGTTTTATGTAGAAGACCACTCAACCGAAGGAAAATTTCAAAATGTTCTACCTCTTTATCGAGTGTGCACTCAAGGTGGAGTGGTGCTGGTGACATCATGAAGTCCTTATGTGCTTCGATGACGGGCTGAGGGGCAGGAGTTTCCGGGGCATAAGTTAATTTTCTTATTGCTAAGCGAACTGAACTTCGTTTATGAGATTTATCTTCACTTGTCTCAGCGACATAAGTTTTTAGTTCATAATCCACACCACATGGCTTGCCTGTATCACCAGCAGCTGGTTGTAACGTAACAGATGCAGGCGCGCTTTGTGGAATCTAAGTACGGAACATAGATGAAGAATTTTTCATAAGGAAGTCTTACTTCAAAGTAGAATGGATACGCGTTGGGTCCCAATTTCCGTAGGAGTCGCTGTTGTAAATGGGTTAAAGGCTTCTTCTGATCATCAATAGGAGGATAGATTTGTTGAGTCGAGCAGAATAAATCTTTTCGAAATGTTAGACCAAGAACATCGAGATCCTCGCGACCATAGCGAAATGCTATATTAATCAAGAAATAAATCATGTGTACACCAGTCGGACAAACACTTTCACTGTACCTGCTAAGACACATGCATATACTTTACGATCTTTGATATATTCCGGATCGACTAGAACGACGCCATCTAAAATAAACAGATTGGTCTAGCACAAATCCTTTTTTCAAGAATGTAAACATACCGATCGGATCGATATGATCCGAATAGTCGATAAAATCTCGTTTTCCAAGGTAACATGTTATCTAAACAAAGGATGAGCTAGATCTTCGGAAGAATTCGTCTTCTATTCTTACCTTCGAATTGGGACTACTTTTTTTGAAGACTCTAAAAAAAACACAAGAGAGAAAAAATTAATCAATCGAAGATTAACACGATCGGAGGTTGATGATAAGATGCAGAAGTCCTTCAGACATGATATGTCTTATTTCATCTATCAATCAATCATTCGATCTATCTAAACGCATCAATTGAAAAGGCATTGCTAATAGAAGTCAAAAAACAGCTTTTTCTCCTTTGACAAGAAATATGATGACAATCAAAGAAGCAAAAGAAGAAGAAAATTTGTAGCAGTTTTCCGGATGAATGAAAGATAATGTTTTTGTTTCAGCCAACAACTATATTCTCCGAAGGATTATCTTTAACCATGAATCTTATCAGAAAATGAGACATTTTGCTCGAACTTCCGTTACACGAGAAACTAAAGGTTAAAAAGAATATAATGAAATGTTTACAGTTACTTTGCACAGGAGAAGAAAAAGATCTCCTGCAGTTATTCAAAGGTTTTTATTATTAAAACGGATGTAGACGCCCACAAGGATAGTGTTCTCTCATGAACATTTGCAGAAAACGATCCAATCATCGAAAGAAAAAAAAATCACTTGTTACTTTATATTCAAAGGATTTGTAAGAACGGAACGTTCGAGTGAAATATTATCTTTGCGAAGAAAATTTCCATTCTCGGATTCCCTGACCCCTAACTAATGTCGGTTTAGCAATGTACCTGAGCAATTCTTCGACGAAATTGTGACAAAAAAAACCCCAAACAAACAATAAATCATCTTGATCTTACTTACGGTTTCATAAGATATTAGATGGCGAAATAATCATGGTTAAATATGATTGAATGCGACAAGAGCAAATGGATCGAGCGACTAATGACTATACGTGCACTTTCAACTCATTCTTCTTGTTTCTGAAACATATTGTAGTCACTAAGATGATGCATCGATGTCCTCTTTACCGCTGTTTCTCATATCAACTTGACGCTATTTCTCATTCTTTTGCTTTTTTTTATGATTCTCTCCAACGCTCGGTCTCTTCTTTTTCTGTTCTTTCAAGGCTGCTTGGTGCGAGACGAGAAACGGAACCGAAGAACGTTGAAAGCAAAAACAGCCATGGCAGCGGAAGGACCGTTTCTGAGAAGGAAAAGAAAGGATGATGGTGGTGCTACTCATGCTATCATTTTTGTAATTAAAATGCCTTCGGAGCAAAACGAAAAACAAAAGCTAAACCCTAATATATCAATTTACAGGAAAAACTTCCATTGTCATGGTTAAGAGTCAACCAGTGAATGGGAGTTCCGAGCGAGAATCGAACACGACACGTACCTTGTTCCTTGTTTCTTCGAATCATCTAAACTTAAATCAAGAGCACCGTTGCCATTTGTTTGTTGTTGTGCCATATTCAATCGAAATATTTCTCATTAAAAGTACATCATTAGGCTTTTATATATACAATCTAAAGTACAAAAGACAAAAAAAATTCGAGTCGATTTTAATTGAATAAATATGATTAACGTGTTTCTTTGGCTTGTCAATCAAGTAAATAAAGAGAAACATTGTTTTGAATAGCAATCCGATCAAATTTTCATTTGTTGGGGATATATAAACAGAAAATGCATTTGTGATTCTATGAAAGGACGACGCGCAGATAGGATTGTATAGCACAAAGAAAATCTGTAAGCAATGACATTCTACTTTTACCTCATTTGTTTATTTATTCGCCATCAACGACAGACATTCACTCTCATTGTATTACATTGTTAGAACGAAGCACACCGTCGTCCAGCGACATCTACTGAACTATCGAATATCTGCAAAGAGAAACAGAATGATGTACAGAACAATTAAGTGTTTATTATATAGAGAACGATTGCATATCTACGGCTCGGTTTCAATTAGTTTATCATCTCTATTAAAGAGAGTTTCTGCTTCTGAGTATGCTTTTCGGACATTTTCGTAAGTAGCGATAAATGGCTTGTCGTTGTCTTTTGCACTATTGTTCATTTCCACGATTAATTTCTGCACGAACTGATGAAGTTCTCGTGGTGTTTGGAGGTGATTAATGATCTCGGTGATGTTTGGATTGTGGTAATTGACCAGTGCTGCAAAATCTGTAAACTCTCGACACCGATCCGTTGAAGCATCTCTGTTCATCTCTTGTAAGACAGTATCAGCGTAATTCATCAATGCGTTGGTATCCCATTGTATTGGATGCGTCAGAAATTTGTCACTTCGACGAATTGCATCTTGAAAGTTAGTGGCGTTAATTTGAGGATAGAATAGAGCTAAATAGAAATGTTGGGCCAGTACCAGTGACTCAATCTTATTCGAAACAGAAGAACGAAAGAACGATTCTAATGCTTTTCTGCTCTCGGTGTTTTTTTGCAAAAAGTAGTGACTTTCGTCAATTCCATCGACCATCACTGCCACGGATTTCCTGAGGAGCTTATTCAAGATCTTCAATACCCACGTAAAGTGTGTAAATACATTTCCAGACATAGATCTTCGCTCTAGCAAGTTGACAAACTCCTCGCCTTCTGCTACGACTATTAACAAGTGAAGCTTCTCGTAAATTTTACTCAGCACAGTAAATTTGTTTAACTCGTCTTTGAGATGCTTAAGTAACGGCTTCTCATAGTAGACATTTTGCTGCTTATATTGAAGAGCAGCATCGCTTGCACTGTATTGTTCGGACGACGATTTTTCTAAAAGATAATTCACAAATATTTCCAACTTCTTTAGATCTTCTCCATTATAATAATAACATAAAATCGTAATCAATTCTATCTTGTCATCCAATGACACATCTGACAGATAGAATTTTTCTTGTTCGTACTCATCAACAAGCTGTGTGACCAGCAAAGACAGTATCACTTGCCCGAATTCATCGGTTGACCAGTTCACTAAACAGTTCGAACCTTGACATTCCGTTTTTCGAGAGATTTCGAATTGTACGAATCTGTCCAAGTACTTGTTCAAGTCTTGATTCAAAATAAGTAGTTTGAAATAATCAGCGGGCGGTAACGATTTGAAATATTCACATCGTAATGACGTTTTTCCAGTGCCAAACTTCGACAAGATAATGAACGAACTTGCTTGTTGATCTGATTTAAGAACTGCTGGTGGAAAAAGAGATTTGACGACGATTTTTGAATTGCAAGCGTCATTTGTTATACTCGTGAAATGATTTCCTGAGTTAGATAGACCATAATACCTATTGAAATCTCTATTTTTCGCGAGATCCATGTGACAAGTTTCAGGTTGAGTCAGTCGTGGTAGAGGCCATTCCAAACCACGATTGTTAAGAGCATCACGCAGAAGATAAGAAACAGCAAGAGCAAAAGCAACTCCTAATATGGTCTTAGTTGCAATTTGACTGGTTGTACTTGTCGTTCGTTCTGCTAGGGTTGACTTTCTGTTTTGTTGTTTGATTGAAGCACACTTTAGCAAAAACTTTTTTTCCTGTAATGGAACGCGTAGAGTTATTGTACGATAATAATACTTCTTGGGCGCCGTTGTTACAGTTTGTTTCGTTACCCCCGTTCCGCTGATTGCTGATTCTTGCTGTGGATCAAGATCCAAAGCGTTGTCATCACTTAATTTCGATGGTATACGCGACATTCGGTCGCTATGTGTTGAATTTCCAATACTATTAGTGTTTCTAAATAGTCACACAAATAGGAGTCATTTTTGATAATTTGTTCGATAAAATAAACGAACTTTTTTCTACGCTAAACCTTGCACTCTCCGAAGAAAACCTGCTTTAAACATAATTTACCTTCTTCTTCTCAAAAGAGAGCTGCAGTCTGTCTGACACAACCAACAGGCAAGAAAAAGGGGTTCGATCTGGAATGTGCAGCATCCGATAAGATATAGCCGCCTATGAGACAATAACATGTATAGAACGGATAAATACAAAGGGAAAAAACGTCAAACACGTGGATGACTAATATCACTTCGTGCGAAGATCATTGTTAGTGAAAAACGACACGGGTTTTTTTTTCAACATAGATAAGAAACAAGTGCAAGTATTGCAAAGATAAGTTACGGGAAATGTATCAACATTATTTTCGTTCACTGCACGAAATGTGGAGTGTCTGAAAAGTGATTATTGTTCTAGGAAAAATTGATGTATTTTTATTTGACTTTTCGTCGTATTACATGTGAACAAAGTCTGTAGTGAATGGGTAGATCGGATGGATTCATGGTTCGTTCAGTACACATATATTTGATTCTTAACTATCATTAAATAAAGATAGAGGCCCAATGAATGAAACTACTGTACACCGAGAGAACAACAACATCGTTAAATATACACGAAAAAGAGAAGAAGAATCGAAAAGAAGAATCATTCACAGGTCAACTAGTGTTGAAATCGAACGATTTTTGAGATCATCTGGTGAAGTTGAAACGAGCGTAGAAGTAGAACTAGATCCGTAGAGAATGGAGTCGAATTGTTGAATTTTAATTACACCGACGCCACCACCTAGCCGACGATAGTTCATTCCACCATGCAATTTCCAACTATTCGATTCGCTATCGTACAATTCAACACTTTTCAAGTAAGCAGCGCCCTTAATGAAAAGAAATGAAGCGTCTTAGAAAAGAAAATATAAATTGAAATGAACTTTACATCGAAACCTCCGATGGCCATCAGATGATTGTTAACAACGGCCAAACCAACCTAATGAAAAGCATTTCATCAAAATTCTATAGATCTTTAGCTAAGAAAAAACTTACTCCACTTCGCCTTGAATTCATCGCAACAACAGGTGTCCATTGATTTGTCTTGGGATTGAATCTTTCTGCAGTGGATAACTCTGTTGCATCATCTCGTCCTCCTACTGCATAGATATAACCATTATATACAGCACAACCCAGATGTTTTCGCCGTGTGTTCATTGACGCTACTGATGACCATTTATTCGCTTTGGGATCATATCTTTCCACTAGATATACAAAGAGATTTTTAGAACTGCCACGATTTCAAATGATTCTATCTACCTGTACTCAATGGGCATTGTCCATCTGATCCTCCAATTGCATAGAGATATCCATCGAGAACAGCAACAGCAACACCTAAACGTTTTGTGCCCATTGACGCCACACGGATCCATCGTTGCACTGATGGGTCATATCTAAGAAAACGGAACATTTACTTTTTCGTTCAATCGTTTCGATTGTTTCCTTCCTTACTTTTCTACAAGGTTGAGACAAGAGATTCCATCTTGTCCGCCAACAGCAAAAAGACAACCATCAAGAACAGCCACGCCAACACTAGTTCGGCAAGAGCTAGTCGGTGCGATTTCATTACTCCATTGATTTGTTTGAGGATCAAAACTAAATTCAACGATAAGAGCGCGGCCTTCAAATATATCATTCATTGATTTTCGCTTTTTTTTCCCTTACCGTTCAACACTGTTCAAATAACTCACACCATCATGACCGCCAACAGCATATAAAAGATTATTTAACACGCCAACTCCAACACCACATCGACGCTTGGACATCGGTGCTACAGCTCGCCATTCATTTGTTGTAGGATCAAACATTTCTACACTGGCTATTGCATCACCCGAACACCAACCGCCGACTAAATTCGAATAAATGATTTGCAATGAACGAATTAGGAGGGAAAAAAAGACTAAACAAACCAGCAAATAGAACTTCGCCGGACCGAATGGGTTTCCTTGATCTGGTTCGTGGTCCTTGCATATTCAATCGCTCTTGTGGCAATAGGAGATAATCTTTAGCTTCATCAACTAAATCTCGGCATGCTTGATCTGAACGTATCAATGGATCTGAACTAACTGTTGTGACAAGAAATCGTGCATTCATCAATGGAAATCGAACATGTTCTAAGATCTGAAAGATTCCGAACAATGATTTTTTGTGTGACGAACATTAGTAGATCTTTACCTTAGGTAAATATTGTTTTCGCTGTTGTAAATCACATGATACCCATTGCATAACAGCATTGAAAACATCTTCTTCACAAGTCATATTCAGTTCGTCACTTGAAATGATATCAATCAATTGATTGATCGGTAAACAAAGGAATTCTTCACTTTCTTTCACATCAGTAAAATGTTGTTGAGCGTAACGATCAGCAATGCGTAGAAGTTCTCGACATGAATGTGTGTCGGCAAACGCGCGAATACCTAAACAATTGGTTGGATCCAGTTGTTTTTGAAGGAACTCACAGCAGGTGATCTGAACTTCTTCAATCTAAAGAGAAGAGTAACTTCAATGTACTAGGAATAGTAAGAGATGCAACGAAATGATAGCTTAGTATTTTGATGGCATGGTTTGATAATGAAAATGAAGCGTTTGATTTGGAGGAGAAGAACAGGTAGAAACGAAAAAGGGACCTTTGATTTTTGTCAAGGATGCACATGTAACGTTTGATGAGAAATATGTAACAGGTTACTAATCAAAGTTACTCATTTTTCTACCAAAAGAAAACTTGAAAAGTGCAAATGATTTCTGCAAAACAGCACAACAATCAATCTGATATATTTTTCTTGTAAAGAGACACCAAGAAATAGCAAAAGAAAGTCTCTCGAGATACAAGAAAAACACCATGATCCTCTTACTTGAAGAATACATGCAGCTGGTAGTAACATTTGAACATTCTTCTCATCGACGATAATTCTTGACGTATAACAAAATTCGATCAACAATTCCATGGCGTATTCGTCGACGTCGTGAATGACGATTTCGGTCTGTCGACTTTCGGCCAATTCACCAGTAAACATTGCTTTGAAGTATGGACTACATGCTAAAAAGAAGTGCACATTCGCTCGCTGACCAGCTGTTTGTTTACTGAGCATCCCTTACCGGACAGTACAGCGCGATGTGCCGGAATTTGACTTTGTCTAATGGTTAGAATGACATCACATAATTCTTTTTGTTTGCGTAATAGATTGAGATTTTCGATCAGGAACTTCGCATGCTTGTCGGAAATCTTTATCAGTTTATTGTTACATGGTGAGCAGTCTTTGAGCATATCAATTGTTGTAGTACTTTGATTTTCATGTTGAATTGTACTGAATGAGGAAAAAAGGCAGTGAGAATCGTCAGAGAGTGAAAAGCAAACGTTACAAACCAAATTCTGCTCGATAGCGAAGGCGATTGAGTTGTATCCATCTTCTCCATCAGGATTGATTCTGTTTTGACAAACAAGATGAATGAATGAATGAAAGAAGGACCAAGTTTGTTTTGATCGATCATAGCGACATAGACAACGAAGAGGACACAGCAAAGATTTCTATTGGCTACGCATGAAACGAAGAATATCAACGAAGAAGGAAAGAAAAGAGAAAGAAAATTGCTGGCTGACGATGACGACGACAGATGATGTGATATTTTTGAATATTCGCGGAACAGCAAGACGATTGAATAATTATTTCCCCGCACATGTGTGATGATGGACAATCTCATCTAGGAAATGTAATCAGTATCAGGATTTTGTCGGATAAGATCATAATACCGTCTAGATTTGACGCATGTTTGTTTAATGATACTCGCCTCCGCGTCACAGATGAATTGTGTTTACACGTTTTGTCGTTCTCGCTTATTTTCAAACATGGGGAATCACGCTACTTGGTTAACACAAAAAGAGGAGTAGTAAAGTGTATTTTAGTTGAGTAAAATCAACCGCGTTTGTACAATTTTAGATACAATGCGTTTCTTGAACTTGATGGTATATTTCAGTTTCTTGTTAATGACTTTGGCAGTAACTTGTTTCGGTCGGTCTATCAGAGAACACTTGATTCGCGAGTATATGACTCATTTATGTTCAACTGAACTCGATCAATTGATACTATTTCGTATACAGATGAGACGGTTATACAAAGTATTCGAATAGTCTCTGTGCGATTTTCGTTTATTTGATCGTAATTCTCTTCGACGCATGTAAGAATAATGAGCGTTCGATTGCTTCTAATACATGAACAAGAATGTATGAAGATTTAGTTGTATCCTATGCGTTGATTATACATCTTTTGTCATGAATACTTATTTATAATTGTCGTTAAAATAAGTGAATGGTGCTCAATCATTTCTGTTATTCAACAGCCTGCTCACGACAGGAGAACATGACATCGTAGGGAATGAAATCTGTGTAGACAAAGGTATTGAAATAAACGATGATAGAAGAAAGTTCAGAATACTCTTGGTACTGAATGATCTCAGGTCATACGAGAGTTTTTCCTGTTAAATGAAATATTTGAATGTACAAGAAAAACATCAGTTCATTTATCATGTATCTTTTCTTACAAAGATTTGCTCATAATCCAATGTGTTTTCAGTCGAATATAAGAACAGTTTTTCATCATAATTATGTGAATATAACACGACATACTAAAGCAATATGTATTTCGCGACGGATAGAACATCGTTACAATAGTTGAATTGCACAGTTTGCCTTTTTCGATGGATTCATTTGCGATTTAGTCTTGAACAAAAGTGCATAGCAAACAGCAGACATTCGAATTAAAGGTAACAAATGAACAGCGCGCTGACAGTTCGAGTTATTCACTGACGGTTCAGTATGGATTATATGAGCGAGATCCATACGTCATCAACGAGTACACAAAATATAGAAATGAATGTCTTTTCATATTTGCTTATTCATATGCTATGTGGTCACGCATGGTCTTTCAATGTCAAACATCTCACTCTTACTCTCAATCGTATCGTAGAATAGTTCATACGATAGTTCATTCAATGATCATCTCATATTGGGCGCACTAGTTTCAGTAGAGTTCGAGGCTCAAACGAGAGAAATAAGTAATTCAGTGTTCGTGTTTAATAACGTACAAATATGATTTCATGGCAAGATTTTCTCCGTATCGCTCTGAAATGGTCAGATGTCAAATGAAATATTCGAATGGAATCAGGTGGTCTGACAAATTCTAATATAACCCATGATTCAATTTTCTGTTCGATTGGTGACTGGATAATTCACAATGTAAGTATATTTGAACAGAAACAAAAACAAGATTTTCATTTGATTCATGATCTTGAACACATCAATACGCCTTGAATATAATAATCGATTGAGTGCAATAGTTGTATAGATCTTCGTAGTATATATTCAATTGTCATATCATCTTGGATATCGAGTTTCATTATTCATTCGGATTCACAAGATCTTTCCATTCATGAATCCATGCCTCTTGTCATTCAGTCACTTGCGATCTGATGACAGGTTCTGTTTATCAACAAGAAGTAAATATTTTGCCCATGGAGATATTCGAACCGGACTATCGTATGTTATATATTTTTCTGCTTCGGCAAATGTATGTTATTTCACTCTTGTCATTTACAGCTGGCGGAACGTATGCAGGTTTTGGCGATGTCGATGCAACGGATTCAATAGACATTCGAGTTTAGAACTTCTCGAGAAGTAGGAATATGAGTAGTCTGTACGCGAGGATGTTTGAATGCAACCTCATAGCAATGTCTTATCGATATATAATTGTCAGATTATTTGGATGAGAAGCATATTGAAGTCTTAGCGAGAGAAATATTCGAATAAAATAGTAATAGTGATTGTTCATAAGCGATATATTGCTTAGTTAATGGTAATACACTGCATTAGTCAGAAAAAGAAATGATATACGGAGATAGTTCTCTTTTGAGTGTGATTCATCTCTGATTTGGTTGTGTGTTCTGAGAGTTGATATTAACTGAAAATGGTATCGGATAGAATAATTGAAGACATTGATGGGAGTTATTCGTATATTGAAGGATCTTATTATTGGAAGATAATGTGAATTTCAGATATCGAGGAAGACGGTAGGGGAAGAAAGTTGTTTTCGAACTGATTCATCAATCTTCACATATGCATCCATTTGATCATCAGTACATTTATCAAATTTTCGAAAAGTATATTGGAACAAAGTCCTAATGTAAGAAGTTCATTTGTTGTTGAGCTTGACGTTTTATAAGGTAATCATTTGACGTTGGTTCATTTCGTGAAATATCGGAACAAGAAAAGCAATCATTCGTTCATATGTGATGTGATCTCGTAGCGTGTCGAAAGCAAAACATTCGGTCGAAAACAATTTCAAATAATCGACTGAGCAATTTTATGAGCGATCCAATAGGTGTGTTATGCGATGGATTGCCTTGTTAGACTAACTTTTCAAAAATTATTGAAAAATATATATGAACAAATTGATGAAGAAATCGATAAAAAGTAGATCGTGTCAGATGGATCGAGAAGATTATACATATTCTTTGTTTTTTGTTTAGACACGATTTTCTCGAGTGATTTACATGGACAATCTCAACGATCAAACTGACTTTCACTCCTTCGCTTTCATATTCTTAATTTTTTTTCTTCGAATAAAATTAAATCGCGTGGGTCAATACAATAAGCTCATTTGTATAAATAAATATCGTTACGCTCAATCAAGCGTGAGGCTTTCACTTGATTCATCATCGAACAGTAGGAAAATACTCGAAATTAAACGCGCTTCATAAAATTTGACAGTGCATATGAATGATAACATCTCGATAAAAGATTATTTTACCAATCGTTATTGTATCAAATACAATTATGCATCTCGTTTATTCCAATTCAATGAGCAATCCGATCAGCTTGTTTTAAATGATAAATTAAGATTGGTAATATCTCTTGATTCGCTCGATTCTCTCGACAAGTCATACCAGACAGCAAGATTTCAAACATTTCCTCTCTATTTTCTAATTGTACGTTGAACTCCCATTGAATCATGTCACATTTTCTTACAGATACTATAGACATGTACAGTTACGTACGTGATCGTGTGCACTACTCTTCTTCTCAAAACCTGGTACGTATTTATCTTCATTTGTTATCTTTTTGTTGATTATTTCTGTGTTGCAGCATTAAAAAATCGTGCACTGAATGACATAGAACGTTTTCTACTTTCTTTATAACTCTCGTATTGACATAAGATATCTGAACGAATCGCCAGATTTTTCTACGTGAAAAACAGTCGATGACAACGATGTAACATAGGTTTTACTTTTCGAAAATAAAGTAGAAATTTTGCTAATGCATGTGATGAGTCTGCTATCTCCATAATCGTTTATAACTGATAAGAATAGAGTATAAGTTGAGTAAGCGTCCCTTTGAAGGCGTGAGATTTCGTTTTTGGATACAATGACATTTGGCATACGGAATATCGTTGGAATTCATCGATTACACCATGGTGAAAAGAATTACTCGACTCCACTTATATTTAAAACGTATTCACAATGGTCCTATTGGCAACGAAAAGCGTTTGATTATCTAATTTGGTGTCATTTAGCTCATGTATTAGATTTCAGTGCGGCATTGCTCTGTTGGTTGTGGATATTCCCTATGACATTTCCTGACGCACATCAGTGGCATTGGAAATGGGTCTGTCGAGTTTTTCTTTACAATTTAGCCTGTGAGTTTACTCTCTATTCATTCTGGCATTGGATAACATATTCACGAACGAGTCCGTATGCACAAGGGCCATTAAAAGAAAAGAAATATAATCCTACCAATCAATATGAACAAAAAGATCAGAATAATCTACTTCGCGAAGTCACATACACCACTCTCGGATGGTTACAATCAGCATTGGTTCAATGTGTTTTTATGTGGCTGTGGGCCAGTGGTCGACTACCGTACTACAACGACTTTTGGTCTCGGCCATTGTTTTCAATTTTCATTCTATTAGCAGTCACTTTCTGGAGAGAACTTCATTTCTATTGGGTATATGAAACTAATTCGCATATTGAATCTTCTCAGATAGAGTACATTGTCTTATAGGTTCATCGATTGATGCATCCATGGTGGTCGGTTAGTAATGGCTTACAACAAGGCGATGTTGGTGCATTTCTCTATCGTCATTTTCATAGTCTTCATCATCGCAGTCGCAATCCGGGTCCATGGGCTGGTTTGTCGATGCATCCAGTTGAGCATTTTGTTTATTATACCTGTGCATATTTTCCATTACTTTTCGCATGTCATCCACTGCATTTTCTCTATGCTAAATTTCATGCTGACATCGCGCCAATAGGTGGTCATGATGGTTTCGATGATCCAGCCGGTGGCGCAGATTTTCATTACCTTCATCATGCTTTCTTCGAATGTAACTATGGTGTACCATTAATTGATTTCGATCGATTGTTTGGTACATATAAAGAGTACATAAGAAAACCGTCACCAGCACCTGAAAACAAGAAACTCAATTAATGTCGATAATTATATATTTACTATAATTGTCTTGTGATTTTTTCGGTCTAATAAAAGGTAGCTAGCGATATCTATCGTCATTTTCTTCGATCGTTCTATGGATCTGACAAATCATTTCATGTGCGATTGAGATTCCCAATTCTCATTTCATCATCATCATATAAACAGTTCTATTTTCAAGATGCTCGCCTTTGCTGCTCGTCGAATTGCTTACACATTGTCTCCTCTTATCGGCCAAGTCTTACGAACATCTCTTCCGCGTACGCCGATGACTCTGATTCGACCATTATCGTTAACTCCAGTCTGTCATAACTTTCCGAATATGCAACAAATGATGGACGAACTATCAAAAAATCCGAAAGCAATGGCACTTCTCCAAGCAATCAAAAAGGATCCGAAGATTATGCATGCAGTACAAGACTTAATTGAAACAATGAGCCGAAAAGGTTACATTGATTTGAAAAATCCTACCAAGCAGCCAAGTATACGCCTATGATTCGCTTTTCATCCTCAATATCTTGCTTTTCCGTTGTTCACAGGTCTTGCCATGCTGGCTGACAATGAAATTCGTACGAAATTGTTTGAATTAGTGAGATTATTAGCTGCTGCTGGTGTATTCAATACAAAAGTTGGTGCCAATCCATTAGAAGCATTTTCTAATGTAATAGGTCTCTTGATGCCTTCGTCGTCGAAAGACAAGGGGAAGGAGCGTTTAGCCGATGGAAAACAATCTTCTTCAGCACCAAAATATGATTTCACATACGATGCCACAGCAAAAGAGAAGAAAGTTCAATCAACTGAAGACACTGTACAAGCATGGGCAGACAAATTCAAGAAAATGTTCAAATAAACTTCGTGTTTTGTTAATACGAATAAAAACCTCACCGACATAGCGGCATAGTCAAGTGGAATTGAAACAATTGTATTACGATGGATTTCGCTCGTAAATGAACAAAATGAAAGAAAGAAAATTGTCATAAAACTCATAAGCAGCTTGAGGATGAGAAATTGAAAGAAAACACAAGTTAGTAGGATGTCTATACACACCAATTGTCAGTGAGCGGTATATATGTGTGCGACGAGTAAATAAGAATGATTTTGAAGAAAACAAGCAACGAACGCGAAAAAAAATAAATATATATGTCTATGTATATTAGTCTTGAATGTCATTGTGCAATTTGGAACCAGTGCCGAAAATGTTTATTGCATTTTCGATCGTTCTAATTTTGTATTGACGATTTCGTCTTCGCTATCTAATGCTTGCAAGGCTTGATCAGCCATCGACGTCGGAATATTATCTTCAACCCATGTTAAAGCGTCTTCAACGGCGCCGTTACCAGTGGCACCACCCGATACATTGGCTTCACGGTTTAATAATGCTTGTTGTTGTTTTTTTGTTTTCGGCGCAGCACCATTTTCCACACTTGATGCTTTACGCATGGTGATGGAATCAAAAACTGCTGATTCTGAAAGAGAAAAGTGATATCAAGAAGAAAAAAAACAGATTGAAAAGTATTTAACCTACCACCTTTTTCTTCGTCTTCATCACCAAATTCATCGTCATCATTATCCGATTGATCAAGTAAAGGAACGAAGGCATACCGTTGGTTGTTATTTGATGGCCGGAATAAGAACATGATTACAAGAAGAATCAATGAAAACAGAATATGCCAAAATGCGTCATCAACCTGAAAGATATTCATTCGTAGTTAGTCACATCCATAAAGAGTGTTTTTTCAATTCCTTACCCAAAATTCTCGCCAATTTTTGACACAACCCGTAAAGAAATGTGACTTCAGCGACCAGATCATAAATAACAAACTGGCAACAATTGCGAAGATTAACGTGTTAGTGAAATGTCGATAAACATTCAATTTGACAATATTTTTTCTTAAACGCAACGTTCGCGTCGTTGCAACCAAACTTGTAAATATCCAATAGTAAATAGTTGCATCAATAACAGCTAATGGAATACGTGAAATAACCACTTTATTGTTTGCTTCGTCATTTTTCGTATTAATACGAAGGATGGCTTCAGTTGTTGCAATGCCGAAATAAAGTAAACCCATGCCAAAAACTTTTTGTTTTAGAGGACCAAGACGTGGTTTAACAATGCCATAACCAAGTGCAACAATGATAACCAACATACGTGAGACAGTGCGTTTTAAACACGAAAGAACTTCAGCTGTTACGATAGCGACGTGAACTTTATATCTAGAAGAGAAACAGAACAACGATGAAAGTATTTGAGTTGGAATTGTTCGTACTTACCCTTGTCGGTTAACAATGTCATATTCAGCAATAAACGCTGATTTTTCAATGATACCCAGGAGAATCACACCGGCTATCCAGAACTGTATTTTAAGTAGTTCTTTCCAATAGAATGCACACCAGACACACCAGAGTATAGCAAATAATCCATAAATACCGCACATGACACCGTAGAAAACTAGCGCTGGATATTCATCTGCAGTTATATAGCCACCATGACGGTTCTTCATCTCTACAATTACATCGATGTCAAGCCCAGGAACGTTGCCATCAGGAAAGTTTGGTTCATCGATTTCGATGAAGTAATATCCATCTCCCCATGTTCGTAACTTTTTGTCGGTTTGTTTACTTAAAGCTGATGCCAACGGACTTTTCTTCCCCTCTTTACTTGTGTCATCAGCACGACGCACTATTTTATCTTGAAAAGAAAAATTAAAATAGAAAAAAGAACAAGATTTCTGAAAACCAGTTTTACTCGGTTGATCTTGCTGTTGTTGCGCGAGAAGCTTTTGTCTCATTTCGAACGCTTTTTCCGGCGAAATTTTCGGTCCAGTCATAGGTGTATAATCATCAACGGACAATTCGCCGTCATATTCACATAAAGCTGGCTCCATAACAAAGTTGCGAATTTCCATTTCACTCCATAAATTTTCGTAGATCCTTTGGAACATCGAAGTAGCATCGACTCCATCTTTAGATGATGTTTTGCCTGCTGTGAGGAACGATTCCGATTGTAATGGCAGACAGCCAACAATGCGACCGATTTTGCCACGTATTAGAATCTTGGTTTTATCATAGTTTTTGTTCAAACTTTTTCTGATCTGTGCTTGGGTCTGATTGGTATTTGTGGACTGCTCGCGACACAAAAGGTGCAATGAAATAAGAGTATCACTCGAGAGAAAACGATCGACGACAGGAGATGTGCCAGCACGTGTCCATGATAATGTGACTATGCCATCAACAAGAGTCGTTGACGTATATTTGATATAGCAACAGATCAGCAGAGAAATCAGCAAACTTAATTTCATAATGATTTTCTAAAAGAGAAGACGTTCAAAGTTAGCATTAGTCAGGAAATGTTTAACTATCCACGTACCTTTTCTTCCTTTTCGGATGAATGAGTTAGAGAGAATGAAATGAAAAAAAAAGAACTATGACTCAAATATTGCCTTCGTGTTATTTCGAAGGAATGAGAAAAACAGAAGAAACAAATATTTCAATTTGTGAAATATTTATTCACGACAAGACAAGTTTTTCCACGCTGAAGCTCAAGAAGACGTGTCTTAAAAAAACTTCTAATGGAATTTTTCTTAAAGGCTAAGTCATGCCATTTGATTGGTTGACACAATCAGCCAGTGGAAAATTTAGGTGTTATGCTTTTTTTTCATAATCGAGACGAGCGTAGATGGAGATGAAAAAATGACGATTGAAATGTCTCGTAGTTGTAACTGAATGCATTGAAAGAAATTGAAATAAAATTAAAAATCATACCTATATGTAGTATCTACGATTAAGTGCATTGAATGCAATTCTTGTGTAGAGCTGTAAATGTTAGTGCGTGTTAACGATCGTTTACGACCGCACCATTTCGGCTGGACTTTATTCCAATTATAATTGCAGTTATACGATGTTTTCATCTGTTTTGTTCTCTCGAAGGACTTTCGAGATTAACTTCAATAAGAAATGAAAGAAAAATCTTAGTCTAATTCTCTGCTTTTGCGGGTGAGGGTATCTATGATGTTAGATGACTTCGGAGTATATCGTTTCATGGAAATGATACTTTGTGTCGAAAAACTCGTGTTCACTTATACAGGTGTTGAACGCAATTGATCAGATTCATCTTTTTCGAATGTGTAAGATCAATACATACACCAACAGTGACTGCGATCGTGAAATTCTACTGGTTTTAAGTTTTCGTTTGCTATTTAAAAATTTTTCTATCGATTTTTCATTTAATATGAGTTCACTACGAGTTGTTCTGAGCGAAAGTAATAGAAAGTATATCGAATGAATGATCTCATGCCGACATCCGTCTGCTACACGTGACACAATTATCGCAAGAAAAACGAAAATCACAGGATCGTTGCCATCATCAGCGAAATTCCATACTTCAACTGATCGATGCCGTCTTAAAGACTACGTATTTCGTTCTCCTTCTTGAATAGTGCTGTAAATTACAACAAATATATACATTTTTTGGATGAAAGAGGTATATTTGTACTGCTTGATTCGTCGATAGAAATTGGCCAATAAAAGTTGGAGGTCGTATACACTCATTGCACTGAGTGTCGTTGCCGTTATTATTGTTTATTTGCTCTCCTATTCGTCTTTCAAATTGTTGTTTATACATTTCGAAAACTCTAGATAAAAATTCAATTTCAAGACAACCAAGAATGAGTAATTTTCTACGCCAAGTCAAAATAACTCAACCGCAACTAGCTACTTTTTTGCAACACCAATGTCGAGCTGAAGCTTCAACAGCATCAAGTACTGGTGTTACCCAGAGCGGTTCCATTGTTTTAGATAATCGCAAAGCGCCACCACCATTGGATGCCGACCGCATGCGTATGCATCCGCGTATTGGCAATCGTGAAATAGTTGGATATGGTTTGAAGGGTAAACCCGAATATTTTGATTTGGTCATGTTTCCTTGTCCAAGTATTCGTTGGGAAGCAGATACTGCTGAGATAACTGCATTACGAAAGAAAGAACAAGGTGACTGGAAACAA